CATTTGTGAATACTTAATGTGCAAACATCGCTTGTTTTTACTTGTTAAAACAACCGCATCCTGCTAAAAACTTTCGTGAGCTCATTGAGACTCAACACACAGTTATCTGTGATCGAGTGAAAAGCACGAGTGCTGCAGAGAAGCTCGAGCGTGATTAAAGGAGACATTTGAGCTTGGACTTTTATTATTTGTGCCGTAACATTTTCAATGAAAATGAAGTGATTAAGATAGAAAATCATTGTTGGATTATACAGCAATAAATTTCATTATCAGTTGCAGCCCTCATACATATGCAGATGAGGAAGCTGCTCCGTGTGGGCTGGCAATCTTTAAGGGCTGCTAAATAGATAAGAATTAGATTCACAAACCCTCTTCTGACCCCAAATTTGTCTTAAAGGACTCTGCTGAAGATTTGTGTTTGCAAAACACATGACGCTCTATATTTTTGTCCTTTTTCAGTGCCTCCAGGGTAGGTAAAATCAAGTAAATTAAAGAGCACTTTATTTAAATGGCAACCAATATAAACTCTCTAACTGGGCACGGAAGCTGTTTAGACTGCAAGTCGTTTTGCAAATGTCAACTGTATTAATCACACCAGTAAACTATGACAAGACTCTTTCTTTTTGAATAACATTTACAGGTGAATCTTATTAGGCAAAATGTCAATTAGCTGCATTTGTCTGCTTTAAATTCCTTCAGTTATACAGAAAATTTCAAAAAAAGAATTCAGCAACAGACAAAATTCAATCCATCTACTTTCTATTCAGGGTTACTGGTATCCATCTCCAGTCATCAACTGGTGAGAGACAGGTACAGCTTGGACGTCGCCCATCATGAGACGGACATGGTGGCAGATAATTTTGCACACACACTCACGGCTAATTTGAAATTGCCAGTTAATCTAATGTTTATTTTTGTATCTGTTGGAGAAAAAAACTGGAGAATACCCACGCATGCACTGGGAGAACATAAAACTATATGTACAAAGGTATAAGCCAGGATTCAAACTTGCAACCTTCTTATGGTAAGACATCACTGTAGCCTAACAAAACCCCAAAGTGGTCGAGCATCACTTCAACTAGTTTCTATTCACTCCTAAAATCCATCCATCCATCCATCCACAGCTTAAGCAGAAATCCTCAGCCTTCCATATTCTAGCAATTTCCTTCAGCCATGGGACATCCCAGGCCAACTGAGTCCTGGTTCTGCCCCGAGGTCTCCTCCAACTGGGATATAATTGAGACAACTCTTAGGGAAGGCATCCAGAATCCGTCCACGCCACATGCCTAAGCTACTCTAGCTGACTCCTTTTGGTGTAGAGAAGCTGAAGCTGAGCTTTTGACTTGCCTTGAAAGAAGAAGAGCCACTTTGTGACGAAAGCCCTTTTCAGCCGCTAGTGTTTGTGATCTTGTTTCTTTGGTCAATACCCACTGCTCGGGGATATAGATTGATTGGTAAATCGACAGCTTTGCCTTATAACCCTGCAACAGATCAGTACAGTGTTTGCATCACAGCAGATGTTGCACCAAACTGTTTACCAATCCCCACCTACCTCACTCATATACCTCAGATACCTGAAGTCCTCCAAACCTGGAGGTGCTGATCCTCATCCCAGCTTCTTTATGGTCGCTTATACATCTTTCCAGCCCTAGCTGAAGATTAATGAACAGCATCATTTTTAAAAGGCATTGGTGCAATCTGAAGTTCCTCAAATTTCTATAAAAGTAATTAAACAAAAGCCAGCAAATGGAGACCTATTTTGGTCGTTAGTACTGAAACGTGACCTGGTTGCTTACATATAGACTACCCCTGACTTGGATCCAGCATTACATTAAATTAAAACATTTAAATGATACAACACTCATAACTAAGCCCAGGACATTACTTCATTGAGTATACACATTCATTTTCTCACAAATCACTTTAGCTGAAACACAAGAGCTTCAATATATACACATTAAACCAATGCAGAGACAGAGTTGGGAGCTCATCATGTCTGCTCCACATCAGTATGGCCTCCATCAGCTGCAGCTGACCCTGTGTACTGGTGTGATTAATATTTTAGACCAAACATGCTCCAAACACTGCACCCCTTTTCTCACCTCCCCACCTCCTACCATCACCTCAGTACCACACCAGCCTCTGTAATTAATTATCCAGTGTTTGCAGCACCCTGCTGGTCCAGCTCTACTGTACCCCCCCCCCCCCCCTCCCCCTCTAATTTTTAATTTTCCTACACACCAGCAGTCATTTTAAGTCCATACTAGCTTAGGACAGCTAATTAATATCAACATTTAATTATGCCGCACCCTAACCAGTAACATCACTCTGATGCTCATTCTGAGCTATAAGCACCAGAGTGATGTGATTAGTTTTATGGCTCCCTTGTGGATGTATCCTATTAAATACATACACATTTTTTATTCAGAAGAGTAAAGCATGGATCCACACCCCTTCATGCACCCGCCTTTCAATCTCTTTAATTCTTCTGTTGGTGTACACTGATATGCATCAGTCATCTCTGTTGCACAGCCTCGGTGTTTGATGTTTAAAATGTGATTACATCGAGTCCAGTGAGGTTATTTAAGAGCAACTCTAATCCACAATTGACCATTTGCTGCAGGCGATTGAATCAGAGCCACGGATGTTGCACAACTCTTCCCTTCTATTATTCAGTTATCACTCCCAACCCAGATCTGTTTTCACATGATCCAGCATTGGACATGTGACACATAACAAAGGACTACTACATGCATTCTCTCATGACCTTCAGAAATAAGAAATATTATGTAAAGCACATTGTAAGTAACACTTATTCAACACAAACACTTATTCAGCAGGAAAAAAGTGTGTTGCATTTATTCCTATTCTTAAAGTTAAAGACCCATTAGTCCTCACACACTGGTGAAATTCATCTCCACATTAGACCCATCCCTCTGGGGAGTGCTGAGCTGCAGCTAGGGCTGAGCTCGGGAATGAAAGTGATACTAAATATGTTTTCAGTTTTTCCGTCCTATTGGTTGAAAGCAGAATTACAACTGCCATAATCCTTCCCCAGCCTGCTGTCGCTGTGCTGACAACCAGCTATCACCAGCATAAGCCGTCTGATGCTAAAAGAAGCCACGATGTCCACAGATCCACACTGTTGAACAAAACATTATATTACTTACAAGTCCAGATGCAACAAAGCCAGGTCAACATCTGTCTGGGAGTTTGTAGCCTCCTTCAGCTCCCTTGCACTTTTTATTGACGGTCAGCAAAATAAAAAAAAGCTGACTGCCAGCCTTTATATTAGCCACTGGTACATTAAACAGCTTTTGCCATAAAGAAGGTTCTAGTGTTCCTAGCCAAACCCAATAGTGAATGGCTGCAGACCCAGAGACCGCAGATTCCGGCCGACCGCTCATTCAGGCTTGTATTGTTTTTGAGACAGCGTCCTCTAAAGGATGAGTGTTAAATTGCAACTGTAGATTCAAAACATGCCTTTAAATCATGTTACATGTGTACAAGGGCGTCAGTTTGTTTTCAGAATTGCTGGGGACAATAACCATACACTTGAGTGGGGTTTAAAAATTGCTGGGGACAATAAAGGCAGGCTTTTTTGAAAGTGGGGGGGACACAGCTGCCAATCACAAATTTTGCCGGGGACATGTCCCCGGCGTCCCCGGTTAAAATGACGCCTATGCATGTGTAAATCTGCAGAGAAAAGAAAGGTATTGAGCACAAAGTTGAAAACACTTTTGTATAGCTATCTCAGTGTGAACTGTGATGTTCTGCAGCAAACACAAGTCACTATATGTACATTAACATCACTATTACTATTTGAACAGAGCTCCTTTCTTCAACCTTTACCTTTGTGTAATAAAAAAAGCTGTAGCCTAAAGTAACAGGTTTGTTTCTTTCAAAAATTAATAACTATTTCATACTTTTCTGAAAAAGTTGGCCTATTCTTTTTCTTTCACATCATCCACAATTAATTTAATGCTTTGTTTAATTTGTCAAAGTGTGAAAGATATAATCTAACTAAAGGTGTAGTTCAGACCAGTCATTTCCACTAAGCTAAGTTAGCTCCTAGCTTAGCCTACGCTATCAAACAGTAGGTGGCGCCTTCTCAAAAACAATACAAGCCTGGATCTGCGGTCTCCGGGTCTGCAGCGATACCCTTCTCACCACAAAACTGTTAAGCTCAGTTTTTGATCAGCAGAGTGCTACAGTTCAATGTGGCGTTACTTAAGCTTATGGCTCAAGAACCACTGAAACATGTTTTAAAATAAAAGCTTAAAGTGTTAAAAACTAAATGTCCTAAAGTGTTAAATCGCCACCCTGCCTGGGTGCACGTTTTCCCTGATATTGTTGAGTCTGTTGAATGAATACATTTATTGTGACCACCAATAGCAAATGTTTTGAAAGCGTATTTTTCATGTCAGAAGTTTTCTGATTATGGATCACCCAAAACATTTCCAGAGTTCACAACTTAGAGACTGTGGGTACTAATTTATATCAGGAAAATCAACACTGATGATCTTTGAAATACCTAAAGCTTGGAAAACGGTCTGCATGGAAAAATTCTTCTGGAAACCATGCCAGCGTCTATGGGGTTCATGACTGACCAGTGTGTTGTGCCCTCCTTCTGTCTTTTTCACGTCTAAAATAAGGTCCCCAAAACCACAAGATGAATGCAAGTTTGACTATATGAGGAGTATTTCCAAGAACCTTTTTAATCAGTCATGCTTTTGTCATCTTTCAGAGCCAAAATTGATACATTTTACAGACCTGTTTTCTCGTGATCAAATATTGTCATCACAAAAAGGCAGCTCTAGTTCTGGCTACATAAACCGATGACATTTTTCTTGTTAAAGCAAACTGACACGATCCATTCATAAATTATAATCCTCTATAAGATGCTGATGTAGCACTGCTCCACACTGTTCCAATAAAACATGTATGTGACCTGATCGAAACAGTTCAGGTTGCAGTCACATCTTTATTTCTTCCTGCAGGTGTTTGTCGTGTGTGAACAGCACTTTTCGCTGCCATTGGTGTAAATACAGAAACCTTTGCACCCACGACCCAAGCAGCTGTTCTTTCCAGGAGGGCAGAGTCAACGGGTCAGAGGTAAATCAGCATAGAAACACCTCAAGAACTCAACTGACCTGCTGATATGTGACATTGTTGCCTAAACAGAACAAAGAAAACAGAGCTCCAGAACAAAGAATCAACAGGATTAAAGGCTTACAAGCGTGCTTGTGACTGAGAGGTGGAACGAGGACAGGGAGGGTTGGAGCTGAAAGCTAAAGTCGGCTAAATAAAGAAATCCGAGATAAGATGTCTACATTTTAAAAAAGCTTGACAAAACTTTGAGCATCAAATTTAGATCTTTAATGAATAAACCATATTGTGCCCTGATTTTGTTACTTTGTTGTAAAATAAGAGCATCTTTATTTGAGTATGTAAAAAAATACAAAATTTACCAGACTAATTTACATCTATGTTGTCCACCTTAAAAAAATAAAAATAAAAAGACATGTGGGTATTTTCTGATTTAAGAGAAGTTTTGCTGCAGGGGTGGGGAACCCTGGTCCATCAAGGGCCACTATCCAGCAAATTTTAGTTTCAACCCTGCATCCTCACTCCTGATTTCAATCAGCAGGTGATTAGCAAGCTTCTGCAGAGCTTGATGAGCTGCAGAACAGGTGAATTAACCACTGAATCAGAAGTGTTGGAGCAAAGACGTGCAGGATACCGGCCCTCGAGGACCAGGGTTCCCTATACCTGTTTTACAATAATAATTTTTTATAATTTTTCTGAAAATTAGACAACCGTCTGCACTGTCCTGACGATGAACAAAAAATAAAAAATCAGATGGTCATTAAATAAAATTGGTGAAAGGCCTCAGAGAGCTGTCATTATGGTAAATCAGCTGATGGGTTTCAGGGAATTTTGATGCCATTCTGAAAATAAAGGTTTCCAGAACTGAAATAGCCCTGCTTAGAAATAACAACAAAACATTGTCATGTGTCTTTAATAAAATCTATTTTAGATTTTTGCAGTGGATAGCCGACCACATAAATGCAGATTATATTTAGATTGCGTTTGCCCGTTTTGCCCGTTTAATCCCTGCTCTACTTTTGCCTTATTCCTTCTTTTACATAACTGAGCACAGGCAGATGGATGTGTATGAAAATATGACAAAAATTAGTTATTTTTAACGCTACAGTTTGCTGATCCTTGGTTTTTAGAATGAGTGTGAAATTTTAATGTGTAGTAATCTTGTTTATTAATTTACAGGATTGCCCTCAGCTCCTCAACTCTGGTGAAATTCTCATACCGGCTGGTGAAGTTCGACCAATTACCCTGAGGGCTCGAAACCTCCCCCAGCCTCAGTCGGGCCAGCGAGGCTACGAGTGTGTGGTTAACGTTCAAGGTGTCAGCCATCGTGTCACAGCGCTGCGCTTCAACAGCACCAGTGTGCAGTGCCAGAACAGCTCGGTATGACCGCAGACACTCTCACCAGGAGTCTCACAGCTGTCAGCCGAGGTGCAAAGCCCGCACGCCGTGTAGTCAAGCTGTTTAGAGTGAATCAGCATGGGTGAATTAGGCCTTAGGTGTTCATCATATGGACAAGGAAGTAAAGGGAAGGGAACACGCTGAGGAAAAATGGGAAGCATGAGAATAAAATGCTATTTTTATCTGGAATACTGGATTTTCTGAGACAAATTAATTTGAGAGGAACACAAAAGATTCCTTGGAATACTTTTTATTTATTTTAAACAAAAATGCAAATGATAGGTTAGATTCCAAAGTATGGCATATATTGCTGCACTGTGACAATGCATGAAAAGGCCATTTTCCTCAGATGTGGATGATTTGTCACCCCAGCCAGAGTTTGCGTCCCTACATGTCAAAGAGGAGAGGAGCAGACAAGCGTAGCAGAAAATGACAGATGGTTAAAAGCATCGTGTCTCTGCTGCCCTTTCATCCTCTCGTTTTCTCCACTCTGTCTCTCTCCGTATCCTTTTATGCATTCCGTCCTCCATCTCTCTCCTCCTTTATTTTGGCTTCCACTTTTAGTACAATCTCTTGATCTCTCTTCTTTTCAGTACATGTACGAGGGTGTGAAGATCAGTGACCTGGCAGTAGACCTCTCCATCGTATGGAATGGCAACTTCATCATCGACAATCCGGAGAAGATTAAAGGTGCCTCTGCCATCCATCACTGCCAAGCCAAAGGAGTGTAAAGCACTCAATCCACAGGCAATAGACAGTTTATAGAGAGCACTTCAAGGTTTCCAAAAAGGCCTCAAGAGAAAGTCCACAATAGTAGGCAGTATCATCAAAAGCACCAAATCACTTGTGTTTCCCAGAGGGGTGAAGGGTAAATCTTTAATCGTTATGATTTCTTACCTGGTTCCCATCTTTTATTCTCAGTCACTGAGCAAAATAAATAAGATTTTATAGAGGCCTTTTCTCCTTTAATGCCTTTTGTGTCATATTTGATACAACTAGCTTGACCTAGGGATGCTGTGATCCGATCATGTGACCAGATGTCGGGCTTGATCACGTGACTTTAAAAGGATTGGAATCCGGTGGAAAAGATTGGATTTAACCTTTTTTTAAACAACGGTTTCTTTCTCTTTTGGTTTTTTTCCTTTAGGCATCAACAAAGCAAATCACCGGTCTCCATTAAGTCCCAGTTTACCATTAAGAGTCCCAGTTCACAGCGGCAACTCGGACAAAACCACAGAGCCAGCTCACAGTGACAGATATGTTAATAAAGATAAATTGCAGACAAACTGCTAAATGTGTGGGTTTCTCAGTTTCCTGCAGCACCCGAGCTGCATGGCTGCCACAGGTGTTGTGCAGGGAAAAGTTAGCCTGCCGGCCTTTGAGTCACTTGCCTACATGGTCACGGGAATGTGCCACTACTTTTAAATATATTCATAACATTAACACACTTTGTTATAAATGTACTTCCTCAACAAGTGAAAGTGAAACTTTGAAGTGTTTCCCCTTTTCTTGTCATTTTAATGCTTTCCTGGAAAGTTTCAGATGGGGAATTGGGGTTACATTTTTGGTTCTTTTTAAACACAAATACGGTTTTTCTTTACCTTGCTGACGTTTCGTTTGCGGCTGCAAACATCTTCAGAGCTGACGCTGATGGTGGCGTCGCTTCCTACTCCATTTATCCACGGGCAGCAGGAAGCTATAGAGATAAGGAGACGTGGATGTGGGACCATGAACAGAGACGATGGAGTTTACTTATTGGATCGCGCATGGGACTGCATCATCGGAGAGGGGAGAGCGGGCAGCAGAGGGCAACAACGTCCTCTGCTGTCTGCGGATAAACGGAGTAGAAAGTGACGCCACCATCAGCGTCAGCTCTAAAGATGTTTGCAGCCGCAAACGAAACGTCAGCAAGGTAAAGAAAAACCTTATTTGTGTTTAAAAAAGAACCAGAAATGGAAATTGAAGCCAAACACAGAAAGAACGTACAAAAGATGGGACTTGGGATTGAAAGATTCTCAAAATCAAATGACTTCGAATCAGATCGGGAGCAAAAAAAACACAATCTGAACACCCCTACCTCTTTAACAGGATTAGTAGATTCCTCAAATAGCTGCTGCATTCAGTTCCATACAATTCCCCTGCGTTCTGGTTGACGATTGAAGTACTGCAGGTGATAAGTGTCATTTTTAAATTTTGTTTTATAAGAACATAAAATAAATGGGATAATAACAGCCGTTGCATACTTAGCTCTGAAGAGTGCAGCCATGAATAGAGTTGTGTAGTTTGCTTTAAATGGGCTTCGACAGGCTCCTTATAAAAGGACACCACCACCTTGCATTTTGTTGAACTCACAAGATGAATGTTTTTTTTGTAACTGTAAATTTTAGCCTTTTTTTATGTGTATGTAGTTTTAGCTGAAGTACAATAGTACTACCTGCTGGTAAGAATCATATTTATGATTTTCATACGTTTTAGAAGCTTTCTGAAAAAGAAAAAGCACGTCTTACCTAATATTACCTTTAAATGCATCATTTTGTTTTCTTTATTGCAGTTCATCTGTACAAGTGCAGTGCTCAGCGAGACAGCTGCGGCATGTGTTTGCGGGCAGAGAGGAAGTTCCAGTGTGGTTGGTGCAGCGGTGAAGGTCGATGCACCATGAAGCAGCACTGCTCCCCCATCTCGCCTTACGCTAGCCGGTGGCTCGACCTTTCTGCCAGCAACGTCAAGTGTACCAACCCTCGCATCACAGAGGTGTGCTCTTTAGCTGTTACCTTTGAAACTTTCAGTGTTGACACTGAGTTATAAGATTTTTAACATCAATCTAGTTGTTTACATGACTTTTCCCAACCTTTGTCACGCCAACATAATGACCTTACAACATGTTCTCTGTAACTGCCTTCCAGTGGCCTGCACAAGATAATTCCAGTTTATATTTCTCCAATATAGTTTCATACATCTCAAACTGAGCAAAACCCTAAATTATTAGATTACAGCTTTTTGTTCAAAAAGTAAAAACTATAAGTACGTTATGCTGGTGAAGGTTCTCAGTCATCCAGGTCACTGTAATCCAAAGGGTTCAAATGAAGGCAACTGGATTTCTTTGGTTTCTTGAAGACGTTTCACTTCTCATCCGAGAATCTTTGTCAATTCTGGAATGGAACTGAAAATGAATCCATTCAAGTATCTCCTGCAGGTTCCTTGTGAGTTTTCAGTCTTATTTGGTATAATTTGCATTAGTCAAAAGTTGGAGAACATAAACATTTTCGCAATAATTTCCCTATATTCTTTTAAATCAAACGTTTCTTGGAGATTATAAACCACATTTGTTTTTATTAAACACACACTCCAAGTCTTGCTTTGGAAATGTAGAGGCTACATTTTAAAAAAAGGAAAAGGTTGTCTCCAAAGTCAAAGTACCTCATCAGAAATGCCAGCCAGATCACGTCGTCACAGATGCAGAGTAGCCTCTGAGATGAGAAACACATTTTTCCCCTGGCCAACTCCTGCTTTCCCAGCCAGATGTCTGTTTACCTGAGACCGTCTAACATTTTCATCCATGCCAGCTGAACACCTGAAGTTCTTGACAGCTAAACGAATTCAGTCTGTTTAGAAAGAAGTGATGGATCTTTTATGTCCCAAACCCGTGTTCATTCTCTTGAATGAACACAGTGGGTCATGCACAGAGATGCAAGGCTCTTCCACTTCAAAGAGCCGGGAGCCTTTGATGTCCCCGTCACATTATTAGTGTTTCTGAAGGATCTGCAGCAGAATGAATCAACCAGCGAGCACTGCTTCAGAGCTGACTGAGTTGCTCCGGCATTGCTCCTGATCAGCTCTGTAGGTCCGAATGCACCTGCTGGCATGGTTTAACTTCCTATTGAAAAGAGCTGTGGAGAAGTTTTTCAAGGTTTTGTGAGTCACTGCATTATTCAGTGAAGTTTATTTTGAATTAGAGTCAATGTCAAGGTTTGCCTTTTTTCCTACTAAACTCAGTCAGAATACCAGTTATGCCTTTGCATGCACCTACTGTGCTTCCTGTTAAAGGTTTCTTCAGATTCAGAAGCATATAGCTACTAACATTTTGGTGTTTTGCAAACATTGAAATCACTAGAAGCAGGTTTAAAAATCGTAATACTAAATGATAGCAGAGATCCAAACTCTTTGCACAATTAAAATCTCGTTAAATGTGTATTCATCACTGTATTTTCCTTCCACTATAGGTGAGTCCAGTGGCTGGTCCTGTGGAGGGGGGCACACTCGTCACCATCCAGGGTCTGAACCTTGGACTGTCCTTTTCCGAGCTTGAGGGTAACGTGGACGTGGCAGGAGTGTCGTGCACCCCACAAGAGGATGGCTACATTATAGCAGAGCAGTAAGAGACTCTTTATCAGCGACTAAATTAGTGTTTACAGTAATGTATTAGCAATTACTTTCTCCATTGTTACAAAGCGGTTTACGTTACCGATGCAGCGTGGCCAGCGAGCAATGAGTAAGACGTTCATTCCTCATCACCATCTCCAATTACCATAGATCATCCACCAATTATCCAACTGGGACGAGTTAGTGTTCCTGATCCGTTTCTTAGCTCTGCTTTAACACAGATTTTGTCAGAACACGTCAGGTGTTACGAAAACACGCCGCATGTTTTTACCGCCCAGCATCAGCGCTTCTGCGTTTGGGTCTGACCCAAGTTTTCAAGTTCATGTTCTCTATCAGATTAGTTCCAATTCTAGATTAGAGTTTTGCTGTTACTAGATTAGGAGTAGTAGACATACTAAAAACAACATGTGTAGTTTAAACTACTGCCTTTATTTATCTTTAAAGAGGTGAAAGGCTATCATCTTCATGTGAGATGTAATTCATGCCCAAGAACAAAGTGCTTTTCTACATCAGTGGAACGTGGATCAGAGCAACAATCAATGTAATGCATGCACGGAAATCACCGTACATACGCCCCCTGCTCATGTTACAAAGAGAAGCCCTAGTCTAAATCATTCAAAGTTGATTCCAAAGCCATTTTAAACAAGAGCCGTTCCTGAGCTGCTGCCTTTGCTGCTTTGCTCTGTCGCAGCTCTGCTGTCATCGTAAAAAAAAAGCTTTGCGATAGTGGTGCTAAGCCCTCTCAATGCCTTTCTGCAAACAGAGCATTATGATTGGCAGGACAAAACCGCTCGGGCCAGAGGCAAACCTGCTGAGGCTACAATGGAGGATTGGTTGTACAACCTGCAGAGCTAAATCTTTTACCACAACTACGGTTTGTCTAGATTTCTAGGCTACTCCTCGTCTGCCCTAAGACTCACATTCTTACCTGCGCATCAGTTATTATGTACGTAAGCACACACAACAAATAAGACACATGCAAGTCCTCGCCAAACACACTAAGCCAACATCGTGTTCCGTCTGTGATCAGATCCTGACAGAGTCCTCATCAGGTGGCAGGATTTTGTGAGGCTTCCCGGTGCTCTGATGCAGCCGTACACAAAGCAAGAAACAGACGGTCTCTGTGTCGTCGTTACGAGGCTGTCGGCACAGCTGTAATTGAAATGCGCTGCGTGTCGCTGACTGAAGGGACAATCTGTCAGCCATGTGTTTCTCTCACAGGCATGTAATGCGATTGGACTTAGGCTGCAGGGACTTTATTTATATCCTTGTAAATAATAAAACAAAAATAAAAAACATGCCAGCAGTAAATGGGAAAAGCCACGTGATCTATGAACAGAAGGGTTGGGCTGGAACGACTGGGTGCTTTTACTGTGTTTGGGAGTTGTAGGTTTTTTATGTCATTCATTCAGCTCAGAGTGCTTCAAAAACATGGCATTACAGATGTTCCAACCATTCATTTGAGCGCGGGGTCAGTTGCTATAATGACTTGTACATGACATGCTTTATCTTATTGACCTGACATGCGATGCTGATTTACTGAAGACACTGCTGTGTTGTCATGGTAGCGGGGGTAATGGTGGGTGGCAGGTCTGTTTGAGGTGGGGAGGGTAGTTTATCATTTGAGTTATATTGCTGTTATAGGTTTTCCATTAGGAAGAAAGATGGCGCCTTGTATTGACCCGCAACTTATATGAAAGTCCACTTCAATCACAGCCACCAAAGAGGCCGTCCTCCACCGGCACCGCTCGTGATAAATACCATACAGCCATGCTTCTGTGTGTGTTTGACTGGATTTCACTTCTAGGCTTTAGCGTGATTTACATTCCCCACGCTCGTGGGTGATAACAAAAATGATTTTGTTTTGGACAGGATTGTGTGCAAGATGGCTGCGGCTCCTGATGGAAGTGCTCCAGGTCCGGTTAAGCTGTGTGTCGGTGAATGCAGACCAGAGCTGAGCACTCAGTCCTCCCAGCTCTACTCGTTTGTGGTAATTCAATACAAAACACTTCTGTCCGTTTGTTGTGAAGTAAACAATGTTAGCATGTTTTTTAGCATCTTGGCTGAAAATACAGCCGCCAGTAAATAAATAAATAAACAATAATAATAATAATAATCTCTAAACAGATCGTAGATAACAGAGTTGAAATCTTTGTTCATTTTGGAAGTTATTGTCATTGTTTGGCAAATTAAACAACATTTTACAATAAAATAGTTGCAGGAAACACTTTTTTAAACAGTACATTTGTTTATTCCTTAGTAAAATGTTCTGTCCGTATGGGGTGCTGTGTGAACATTAATGAGGAGAATAATGAATTTAATAGATTGCAATACAAAATAAGTGAAAAGTCTTCTGAATAATTTCCATACCCACTGTATGTTTCTTTTCTCACTGTGTGAGATCTACTGCAACTAGAGTCACAACAGGGCCCAGGGTGGGTTGGGGATGCTAGAGATGTTTGTTTTCTTTGTAGTATATTGTTGTGTTTGTGATTTATAACTTGTTTGTGTTTGTTTTTGTTATTTTGTGACATTTTGTTTCAGTAACAATGACTAAAGAATGATCCATTTATGATTTTTTCCCCCCATTTTCTAAGAATACTAGTGATTAAAATGCCATTGCTTGTATTGGGTTGGATTTTTCATTGAATTCTATGGAATCCACAGAGAGATCCCAACCCCAATTTAAAAGACGTTCTGTACTCTTTCTTTGACTATTATGGGATGAAATAATGAGTTTTAATTTGTTTCAGACCCCTACCATGTTGGCTCTCACCCCGAGCAGAGGGCCTGCATCTGGAGGCACTAAGGTCACCATCGTTGGGGAGAATCTGAGTGCAGGGAGCACTGTTAATGTGTACTTCGGGAATCAGACATGTGAGCTGTACAGGTGAGTTTAGGCATTTTCAGTAAACAAGAAGAAGAAAGTATCATTCCTAGGGCGCCTCTCAAGAAAAAATCACGAGGCGCTTCACAAGAACAAAAATGTAAAAATATAAAAAATAATTTAGAAAATGGTTAAAATATATTTAAAATGAGCAAAAAATAGACTATTGTGATTAAAAAACTAAATGTTAAGAAAGAGAGAGAGTGAATAGGAAAGAAGGAAATCGGTGGATCCTGAGGAAGGTGGAATAGGTGGGGAGAGCAGAATAAAGAGAGTGGTGAAGAAGATCATAAAAAATCCAGCTTGAACAAATGAGTCTTCAGCTGCTTTTTAAAGGAGTCCACTGAGTCCTCTGATCTCAGGCTCAGTGGGAGAGTTCCAGAGTCTGGGGGCCACAGCAGCAAATGATCTGTCACCTTTGGTCTTTAGCCTGGTGCGCTGCACAACCAGAAGGCTTTGATCACTGGACCTCAAGGACCTGCTGGGAGTGTAGGGACTAAGAAGATCACCAATGTAAGATGGTACTTGTCCATGTAAGGCCCTATAGACCAGAACCAGGATCTTGAAATGAACCCTGAAGTTGACTGGCAGCCAGTGAAGCTGGAGGAGAAGCGGGGTGATGTGGGTGTATTTGGAGGACTTGGTCAGAAGCCGAGCACAGGCATTCTGAACCACCTGTAGACGGTTCAGGGAGGTTCTGCTCAGACACGTGAAAAGAGAGTTACAGTAGTCTAAGCGTGAGGAGATGAAGGTGTGGAGAACTGTCTCAAGTTCAGAGCGAGACAGAATGGGACTCAGCTTAGCAATGTTCCTGAGATGGAAGAAGGAAGAGCGAACAAGAGAACTGACATGAGAATCCAGGGTGAGAGCTGGGTCAAAGGTCACGCCAAGATTCCTGACGGAAGGTTTGGTGTGGAAAGCAAGCTGACCAAGGGAGTCTCTGACTTTGGAAACCAGCTTGTCTGGGGCACTGATGAGGATCTCAGTCTTATCTTCATTCAGCTGTAGAAAGCTCCCAGCTACAACACACCAAAAGCAAATTGCACAATAAATAGTTAAACTTATCCTAGACCATTTTATTAAAAAAAGGAAAAGTGCACTTCACATAGAATGAAATGCCCACAGGTTACTTTAAAAAGTAATGATTCTTGAGGAAGTGGTGAAACTCAGCAGTAGATTTAGTTCCCGTGTATTTATAGAAATCTATTTAAATTGCTCATATAATAGCAGTTGGGTATCTAAGGCCAGACATCATTAACCAGCATACTAATTACAATTTTCATCACTAAAACATCTGTAAGAAATGAGACGATGGGCCAGACTGTGATGAATCCTCCCTCTTCATGTGGTTAACAGTAGGAGTTTGCTGCTGCAGCAGTGAGAGGATAGCTGGGATCATGAACACAAATAACTTACTTTTTTTGGTACATCTACCAGGAGGAGCATGTCTGAGATCGTGTGCTTCTCTGCTCCCTCTGTGACGGGAGCGGGACCTGTGCAGGTCGGTCTGAGTGTCGACCAGGCCACAGCTCCAGGAAGTTTGGCCTTTGAGTACATCGAAGACCCCACGGTTCAGCGCATCGAACCCCTCTGGAGCATTGCGAGGTAACTTAGCATCACTAAAAACTTCCTATTAAAGCAGCAATCCAGAGTTTTCCCCCTTTCAGGAATTATGGATGATTTTTTTTAGAATTCCATAAAAGGGAAAGGCATCTGCTAATGTAACTAGACTGATGCAGAGGTGATGACATTTCTTTGGACAAGTCGGTCTTATTTATAGATAAACAACATAATTTCAGAATTATAATTCTAAAACTATGGTTTTTAGCTTTGTTATACAGCTAGAGGTGTGCATTTATGAAAGAAACTTAGCCGGAATCATAAATCTAGGGAGATGGTCTTAAAGGTGGTAGTAGTTCCCCACATTGTTGACGTCTTTGCTGAAAAACATTTCTTGGATGTGGAATGACTAAGTGGTGGTCAACGACAGTTACTAAAGCCGTTATAACGAATCTGCAAACAAGCTAGGTTTTGAAAGCGGTCACAAAACATTCCTCCCTCCCCTCGGGTATCTTCCACGAGATGCTTCTCCCAGATCCAGAACCCTGCGATGTCAGACAAAACGAGGGAGCACTGAACACCAGTCGCCGTTTTCTAGGTCCAAACGTCTTTTGTTGTCCGTGACTTCAAATGGTGTTTTTCTTTTTGGGACTCTGGTAGTTTGTCCTAAAGTTGAAGCGGTAATAGCTGGCAGTTTCTCCTTCTCTGATATTGTTGAGCGGAGAACCTCACACTCCAGTGGTGTTCTGTAGCTAAATACGTGAGTGTGTGATGAATGGAGGACCGTGGGAAGTTCAGTGGTTCAGTGAGACCGACAACAGATGGTCCAACAGCTGCTTTCGGTCCGAAACGTGTTATTGGTAGAGTTTTGTAGACAAATGCAAGAGAACCACTTTATTATTTGTTTTGTGTCTTTTAATCTCCACAACATGGTTATAGTGATGTTAGAATGATGTTAAGAGGCATGAAAAAATGTTTTAAGCTATTCCGTTTTCCTAATTTGTTACAGCAGTGTTAAAATGCAGCACGTTGTTTCCACCTTTAGATGGTGCCTTCTGAGATTTAGATTTCTGCTTTGTCTGTAGATCTAAAGCGTCTGAGGGTTTACGTCTGCTATGATCGCAAAATATTCTCAAAAATAAAAAACTAAGATGTTTTTGAAAAGGGGAATTTAAAGAAATACACTGCCTTGCAAAAGTGTTGCTAGTGTTGCTGGATCAACAACAAGTCAGTGATCCGACTGCATTTTCCGTGTACATTTCATGAACCTCTCGACTAACTGACTGGAGATAATGCCGTTTTGAATAGAAGCTGTGTTGCACAAAAATCTTTAAAACTGCTCATTGGTTTCATATTAATATTACTGTAAAACAAACAACAGCTGAGCAGTGCCCTACCTACACTCCACCATGATAAAAAGATGTCACTTAATTCAGGTTTGGCTGGGATTAGCTAGCACAGCGTCCCAGGAGATTAAAGTTCGGAGACACCTTGGCCCTCAGCCGAGTGACAGGAGAAGCTTTGTGGAGCTGCAATCAAGAGCCCTCATCGTGAATGTGCATTCCCACCATGAGGCCCTACAAGCTTAGGTAGCCTTTGAAGTGTGAGAAGAGAAGGATTGGCTCCGTGTCAGTCCCACTAGCCTGGACAGTTTTTAAAGCAGCATTTTCCCTCTTTTCTTTTCTTTTCATTTCTTTTCTTTTCTTTTCTTTTCTTTTTCTTTTCTACCTTCTGCCTTGCAACATGCTCTATGCAGTGCAGGTTATGAAAAATCTGAGTGTTGTTTATTCTAATCACATCTAGCACAGATAAGCAAACAAGCAGCACCTGTATTCATGCTGCAGTCTCACAGTCATGGGTGAATTTAAAACAGCAGCCAGCTGGTTTTTGTTTCATCTGCCTCTTCTGCCCAATAACAAAAGACGAGCTACCAGCTATACCTCCTCAAACGTGCTTTAATGCAAATTCTCCGGAAAACGTTGATGAAAAAGATTGTTCTCTCAGTAGTTGCCGCTCTAATTAAATCCTGATGAGGGGAAAAAAGCAACTTGTATTCTTGTGCATGCTGTGTGGAGTTTAGTTTGCTTTTTGTGTGCACGCTGTAGCCGATGGTAATCTGGAACAGAGTAGCGTGTACAAGTCTTAAGACATCTTTCACCTCTTTATGTTCGCTCCTAATGAGCCAATCTTACATGAACCATTTAATTCATGTTTGCAGGCTTTCTGAACGTGTTTCAGTTAATATTTGATATTTGGTAGCAGATTATTTTAGGAGACATGTATATTTTACTTATTTAAGCTGCATAATTGTGGGCAATCTATTTGTCAAATGTATCAAACCCAAAGGTTGATTTGGTTTGGTGTCTTATCCAACTTTTGTCCATACATGGTTTTTAGAATGTTTTTGAGAGCTTTTTCAGAATTGCATCTATAGAGTGACATTAAACTGCCACGTCTTTTGTTGATTTTAAAGTAACACAGAGCAGTTTCCAGCATTGCCGCCCTACTGGCTGAAAACCAAATAACAATTGTCATAAACAACCCTGCTGTAGCTAACACCAACAACAAGCTAACACTAGCATGAGCCAACTAATACTATTATAAACCACAAAGTAAAAAGATCCACACTGTTGGACAAAAAATATTATTACTTATAAGTTCAGTATTAACAAAGCCAGGTCACCATCAGCCCATGATCCACGATTTGCCTCCAAAAACATTAGTCATACTTTTACTTCCAGGCTCCACCATGATGCCAACAGAAAAACCTTCTTTTTCTTCTTCTTTTTACTGACCAGCAAACTGAAAAAGCTAACTGCTAACATTACAGCTAACAGCCGTAATGCAGGTAAAGACTGCCCCCATAGAGCGCCTACCCACTCCACAAAACTATCTAGTGTGGTTTTGGGTCAGCAGAGGGCTGCAGATTGTCAGATAAGAAACCGGTCAAGTTTGTAACCCAACACTGACTGAGATCAATGTTATAGCTCTAGGTTCAAGTTTTATTATTACTTTAAAAGATTTGCTAATTTGATTTGCATAAAATAGCAAGGTTGCAATATAACTGGCAGTCAAAGAAATAAATCTAAATGAAATGATTTTATGAAATGACTAAAAGAAATCCTGCAAAAATCGGACACGTGCCCTGATTTATGTCACGAGGATTTTGTCCTTCACCCTGTAGAGTCAAAAAAAGTTTAATATTTTATTTGTTCCAAACTTAGTTTTGTGTTGTTTTCTAGATGCATTAAAATATTCTCCTTGCACCTTTCTAAGTCTCTAAAGTTACTATTGAAAACTGTTTTTATTGGAGGTTATTGTCCCTTTGGTTTGGAAGGTCTCTGTTAGGTGGCTTAACAAACAAATAAAAAATTGTTAAGTACAAGGAAACTGGGCAAAAGCATCTACGAGTGTTCAAAGAAAACCTTGAAAGTCTGTAGAAAGCCTGCAAAGCTGTTGCACAAGAGTTCTTAAATTATGTTACAAGAAATCCAGGATTCTTTGAAGCACCATACGAAGAACTCAGCAGTTGCTTAAAAGATCTGAATGGTAATTTCAATGCATGTTTCTCTCCAAACAGTGGACACACCACCCTGACAGTGACTGGGACAAACCTGGATGTGGTTCAGGAACCTCGGGTTCGCGTCAAATACGCCGGCCGCGAGTCAGTCAATGTAAGAGAATTAACTTCAACTTTAACAAAGTGGTAAAAATAATTGAATTTGTTTTAAACAAATTGTGCTTTAGTGTGCATCATTTATCTTGAAGGTACACTAAAAAAAGGCTGACAAAAGAAAAGGTTAAAGGTCAACTTTACTCATATTTTTAATACATTTGCGGTGGTCTCTAGTGGGACTAAATCCTTGTAAGTCATCTTCTGGGGAAACAAAGCTCTAGTGCACCTGTTTGAGGACGTAGAAGTCAGCTGGAGCTAAAAGTAGTTTCAGACGGCAAGATTTGGACTCTTATTTTCCCATGTTTGGACATCTCTCCTCTGATTGGCTAACAGCAACACAACACTGCTCTGCAACGTTGATGTTTATCTTCACAAATAACACAAACCTGAAGGAGTTCTGCTGTATGGTGGAGTTGCTAATGCTAATGTTAGCTTCTACTAGCCGAGACAATGTCTGCTGTTTCCTGGATGCTAAACCAACAACAGCCTTCCCTGTCGAGAGTCAAGATGGGTGAGTCCATGAATGTTAGCTTCTATCAGAAGCTATTGCCCGAAATAGGGGTAGAAGATTATTATCACATTTGGCCTGCATGTTAAACTCAGTTTTTTTTATTCAGAGAATCTGCTTTTAAAAAGGAGATGAGTGGTTCCTTTGAAGAGGACGTTTTAAAAACTGAAAAACTAAGTTTTAGGGAATGATTTACGTGCCTCAGACGGCCTGTCTGAGCTCCTGGAAGTGATTGATTGAACTGAAGTGTCGCAGCCCTGATGGCAAAACTTCAGGCACCCTCATCTCAAGTTTCTGACTACTCAGAGTTTTACTAGAGGAGAGAGCACTTCCTGAAGGCCTTTGATTTCCTCTCAATCCACCAAAATCAATACAAAAAATGGGAACTGATGAAAACATGTGGATGAAATGATGTTCTTTTGCCATTTTGAAAGAGAAAACATTAGGAACTTCAAATGGATCTCAGAGAAAAAAAATCATCTTAAGTGATTTTTAAATTAAGCTTTTGTCTTTACAAAAAAGGAAAAAAGAAAAGGAACTGAGGCACTCAGGAGGATGATAATAGTCAAAAAGCCTTTAATGTTCCACGGCTAATCAAATAAAACACGTCTACTAGTTTCAGCCACACTGGCCTTCGTCAGAACAAGTAAAAGCTTCTATTATATTCATAAAAAAACAAGATTTATGAAACGATTCAACAAGAAGATTCATGAATATGGTTAAATAATGAATTCTCTTGCACTGCCTCTGGTTGTGCAGGTATGCATTGTGAAATAACACAAGGACACCTGATTTGATTCCTTTTTAGGTGTGCAAAGTGTTGAACACAACCACCATCAGCTGCTTTGCACCGTCTCTGAAGGCAGAGTACAGCATGGACCAGGACACGATGAAACATGTGGATGAATTTGGTTTCATCTTCAATAATGTCCAAGCTCTGCTCACCTATAACAACACAGGCTTTGTCTACTACCCCAATCCTTACCTGGAGCCTCTCAGCCTCTCAGGTGTGCTGGAGCAGAAACCTGGAGCTCCCATCATTCTCAAAGTAAGTTGGAGCACTCTGGGGCACTGCTTCAAAACAGCAAAATGTTAAAGAAAATATTTAAAAGTCCCCTAAAATAAGGCAGAGTTCTGGCAAAAAAATCCAGACCAGCCGTAGCATTTTGCACTGCAGGTCGTTTTAACCACGGTCCATTGTAGCCTCAGCGGGTCCACCGTTGACCTGATCGGTTTTGTGTCTTGCCAATCCCAGCACTCTACATTTGTTGGGCATGCTTTGCTCCAAAGCTGCGACAAAGAAAAACGGGAAAGATAGCATCGGCTCAGAAACGGCGCTTGCTTCAATCAGCTTTAGCATCCCCTTTGGATGATTTAGACTTGGGCTTTTCTTTGAGACGACCAGATAGAGGTACTTAAGTCATTTATGTCGAAAATGGACATATTTGCGTTGTCTTCAGTGATGTATGGAGGACCGCCCTGTTAACTGATTGCCGTACTAATGAATACGTTTGAAATATCCAGTGATGTAATTAAATACCTACACATCTAATGTGATTTAACACTTCCGAACAGGAAAAATCGCTAAACCACTCTTTTTTTTTTTTTTTTTTTTGTGAGGATTTTCTACCTGAACACAAACACCACTACACGAAATGTCACTTTATAAAGCATTTGTCATGGTGGAACAGCATGAAATACCAGCTCCCTTCACTGTGTTGCAGGGCCGTAATTTGGTGCCATCAGCCTCTGGTGGAGCCAGGCTCAATTACACGGTTCTGATTGGAGATCGGCCCTGCTCCCTTACCGTTTCTGACACTCAGTTACTCTGCGAGCCCCCGAACCTCACAGGGCAACACAAAGTCCTAGTAAGTATCAAGCCTAACTAACTGCCTGTTTTTCTGTTCTGCTGAATGTGTGTGTGTGTGTGTGTGTGTGTGTGTGTGTGTCTGCATGAATGTGGGTCACCGTCTGTAGGTCAACGTTTGTCTTGACGTCACAGTGATTTTGGGTCACTGACGGGCTTTCAGCTTGTCACTGACTTTCTGTCATTGTCTCTCACTCATGGTCTGCTAGGTTCCCCTATTACAGCATTGTCCTCAAGAATTATTGACGGGCATCCTGGCAAAAAGCCCAATAAAAAAACTCAATAAAATAGAACTGAGTATTAAGGCAAATGAGATGTTTGAACCTCTTAAACCCTCTATCTTTGAATATTTTCACTACTCAACATTGTGTCCACCCTTATTCTCATCATTCAGGTTCAAGTAGGTGGACTCCACATCTCTCCGGGAGAGGTTCACATCCGATCAGACAGCTTGCTCACTCTCCCTGCTATCTTCAGCATAGCAGCAGGAGGGGGGCTGCTCCTCATCATCGTTATCATCGTCCTGCTAGCCTATAGACGAAAGTCACATGAGAACGACCTCACTCTAAAGCGCTTGCAGATGCAGATGGACAATCTGGAGTCCAGAGTGGCTCTCGAGTGTAAAGAAGGTAAGAGTTGCAAGTTAACCTTCTCATCTCCAGCTGTGTTTCAAGAATATCTGACCAGAGCTTGCATAACTGCTGCATATCGCCAAGTTGTCATTTTCTTCTTTATATGCGAGTTGTTGCATGCTATCTACCATTTATCCCACTAGATGTCACTGCTTCATGCATAGCATAGTTTACAGGGAAGCTTTTGGAACCATGTATATCAGGCAGAATATTTACCCCGCCCCTCCTATGTAAAGCCTTTGCAGAGCTACAGACAGACATCAACGAGCTAACCAGCGATCTGGACAGAGCCGGTATTCCCTTTCTGGACTATCGCACTTATGCTATGAGGGTCCTGTTCCCTGGCATTGATGATCACCCTGTGCTGAGGGAGCTGGAGGTGAGCCTTAGAGGCACTGCAACACTGCAACACTCATCTTTCGGGATTTTGAGCTCAAACCTCCCAAAACACCCCAAACCGAACAGATCAGAGTGAAGAGTGTATCATTTGAGATTGCTTTGTTTCAGGGTCTCTACAATAGCTGAAAATCAGAAATGATTGATCCCAAAATCAAAAATGGTGTGTGATGTAAAGTCTAGTTAATCAGCCATTATTGAGATCATAATTCACATTTATTATTGTTATTATTAATTGGAGCTTATTCTCAGTCAGGGGGGTGTCCAGAAAGTGGCCTGGGGTAGCACATGCCACCCTAAAATGTGATTGGCCACCACAGGTGCCACCCCACTGAGTTCCATTTAAATAGACTTTACATTAGCAAATGCTTGGGGTAATATTCCCAAAGAGTAGGTGGCAGCAGATACCTTTAACATCGGTTTCAAACCTCAGGCCTAAAGATCATTTGTGTATTATTTTTATTCTTTAGCCTTTTTTTCATGTCATATTTTGAATCCCAGTCCCACTCCATTTGGTGGTGGTAATGCACCAGGAATAGCTAGCTAACCACTACAAAACAGTTAGAAGAAGGAGAAGCAGAATAAATGGCACAATGTGGAGCTCACAAGTTCGTTAGTAGAAATAAATGAAGAAAAAAGCATAGCCATGCCACCCATGAAAAACAAGGGCCCCACCTGGGCCACCCCATTTTGAAAGGCCTGGACACACCACTGTTCTCAGTACGGTCCTTCATTATTGAAAATTATTTTCATGGAAAGTCCGGATGAGTCAGGAGTCCAGCTTGAGCTCAGTGCATGTAGCCACTTGCCTTCGATTTTACACTTTGCTCTTCAGACAGTGTATGAGAATTTTTTGTGCATATTTCTTTCTATTTTCATCTGTTATGACTCATCCTTCTGCAAGCACTACCTAATGAATGTGTGCATCTTTGTGTGTGCAAAACCCTATGATGCTTGTAGGTGCCAGGATGCGGACAGGCGAGCGTGGAGAAAGCCTTGAAGCAGTTTGCTCAGCTGGTGAATAATAAGCTTTTCCTGTTGACATTCATCCGTACGCTGGAGCTGCAGCGTTCGTTCTCCATGCGTGACCGTGGCTACATGGCTTCTCTCATCATGACCGCCCTGCAAGGACGACTAGAGTATGCCACAGACATCCTCAAACACCTGCTATCAGATCTTATAGAGCGCAACCTGGAGAGCAAGAACCACCCGAAACTGCTCCTTCGAAGGTATAATTCACTCACTAAATATGACCATTTTATACTTTCTTGATTCCCTTGGGGAAATTGTTTTCCTCAGTATTTGTAGTGCCCTGGCTTGTATCAGATTCTATTGCGCCGGGGTGGGGTGGGGGTGGGTGGGTGGGGGTGGGGGTGGGGGGGGGCTTTGGGGTTTAGCATCTTGTCCAAGGATGCTTCAACACATTGCCTGCCACCACCAGGACTGGGTTTTCAAACCTAAGACCTTTGGATCACAGGACAACTGCTCTCCCTGGTCAGCCATGTCCACCCCTCATTCTCAATGTTCTTTTTAAGAGACGGTGTGTATTTTCCCAGGCGATGGGGGGCAGTACATAGCTAAATCACTGCAAGCAAGCAGTAATTTTGTGTTTGTTTAAAACCTCACCAACAGATGGCAGTTAGAGTGAAAAATCCCTGTGAGCACAATTTTTGAATGAGTAACTCCAGCAAAATGACAAGCACGTCAGACTCCCTCTCATCACTGGCAACGAGGGAAGATGTAAATGTGTGTGCGGGGGCAGCAGCTTAAGCAGGGAGGCCCAGACTTCCTTTTTGCCAGCTCCTCTGGGGGAATCCCAAGGCATTCCCTGGCCAACTGAGAGACATAGTCCCTCCAGCATGTCCTGGGTCTTCCTTTAGGTCTTATCCCAGTTGGATGTGCCCAGAAAACCTCACCAGGGAGGCGTCCAGGTGGCATCCTGACCAGATGCCCCAGCCACCCCAGTTGGCTCCTCTCGATTAGGAGAAGCAGCAAATCTACTCCGAGCCCCTCCTAGTTGACCAAGCTTCTCACCCTATCTCTGAGGTAGAGCCCAGCCGCCCTGTGGATAAAACTCATTCCGGTCGCTTTTATCCGCAATTTCGTTCTTTCGGTCCCTACTCAAAGCTTGTGACCATGGTGAGGGTAGGAAAGTAGATCGACCGGTAAATCGAGAGGTTCGACTTATGGCTCAGCTCTCTCTTCACCACGACAGACCGGTACAACGCCCGCATCACTGCAGACGCAGCAGCAATCCGACTTTTGATCTCACGCTCCGTCTTTCCCTCACTTGTGAACAAGAAGATATTTAACCAGAGATACTCAAACTCCTCCACCTGGGGCAGGACCTCATCTCTGACCCGGAGAAGGCATTGTAGCCTTTTCTGACAAAAGTGTAAAACAACATTTATGGATGGCGAAAGTTTTGTGACTCTTTGTTACAAATTAGTAAATGCGTTTTGTTCTTAGGAGCTCATGAAGAATGGGTTAGTAAAGGGTTAGTAGTTGGTCAAAAATACACATTCTCACTATAAATTATTTGCAAAGTTGTAAAAAGCAACACTCTACTGAATGTTAGAGTCAGCTGCACTGCTAAAGCTAAAGGTTTGTACACATTTCAAATAATGTGCTGTTCTGTAGTAGCCTGGCAAGCCCTCCTTTATTTGTAAATAAAAATAACTGCTGGTGGTGCAAAGCCCACCCAACGTCTCTCTACAAACAGAGCGCTGTAATTGGACTGTCCTACACTCAGCAGAGCCAATTGTAGGCCTGGTGAGTCTACAGTAGAGCATGCTAGACCAACCTGCAGGGCTAAATATTGTGCCGCTGCCACGGTACAGCATGCTTTTTTCTCTGCACTGACAGAAGTGAAACCTGAGAAGTTCTCTGGCAGAATCCCAACTGGTTGTGATCAGCACTGCTTATCTTTTGGCATAGATAATTCCTCTGTGCATTGTTCTTGCCAGCCCGGTTACCACACTTGCAATGGCCGAGTAAGTAGGCCAGTGAAGGGAAGTCCACCTCTTCTCAGCGTTGTTTTGTGCAGCCGTGTGAAACACTGGTTAGGAGCACGGTTAGGAGTCTCAGAAACAGGGTGGCTGAGCAGACAGGAGAAAGACAGCCGTGTTAAAGTGATAGAGAGTGGGAGGGACTGGCAGAGGAAGAGAACCTAATGGGGAAGAGTGAGTGCATCGGCAGCAGAGTCGTTGTCAGTCTGACTTATCTTCTGTTTGCCCCTCATGAAGAATTCAGCTGGAGCTCACATTTTTTTGCCCATCACCTCTCCTCCTTTTCCATGCTTTTGCCTCCTCCCCTCCTTCCTCCACCTCTAGTTATCAGGCAATAGATTTTTTTGGTCCTACGCTAAGACCAGCCTGCTGAATGTTTTATCAGATTTTTTCCACATTTTTCTGGGGGGAGGGGTGTGTGTGTGTGTGTGTGTGTGTGTGTGTGTGTGTGTGTGTGTGTGTGTGTGTGTGTGTGTAAAAATGCCGTCTCAAATGAAAGCACACTTATTTTATGTAAGAATGAGTTCCCATGGGAGCCAGTGTGGAAACGTGTTAGTCAGATCCTGCTTCATGCATCAAAAATGGAAATGTTCAAAAGGATCCTGTCACCTGCTGAGTCATTACAGGTTGTGGTAGAACGGCTAGCAAGGGAAGACAAAAGGAATCTAAGAAGATCCTGCATGTTTTAGGTTAGATTTAAGAAAAAAAGCTGTTTGAATCTAATGTTTTACAGCATTTTAAATAAAATATGACAGTAAATCATAAAATCTGTTAATTCTATGCTAATGTGAAGTAGCAAAGCACAGATGCTACAAAAACACCAGCATGAGCAACTTAAAGTGACCATTTAATCTGAATAATTATGTCATGACCCAAATATGCTGTTCACTTGTGGCACTTTGCTTACAGAAAAGTGTGTGTGTGTGTGTGTGTGTGTGTGTGTGTGTGTGTGTGTGTGTGTGTGTGTGTGTGTGTGTGTGTGTGTGTGTGTGTGTGTGTGTGTGTGTGTGTGTGTCAGTCAGTCCGTCTGTCTTCTGAGGCCATGCAGCTGAGTGAGAATCTTGTTAACTTCTGATTTTGGGTCTTTTCCTTTCAACTCTGTCAGGCTCTTCAAAGTCTAAAATTACAAAAAAGTAATCAGAGTACTCTGACTCTCTGTGGGACATCTCAATAACAAATGAGCACGCCTCTCTCTCTCGCAGAACGGAGTCGGTGGCAGAGAAGATGCTGACAAATTGGTTTGCCTTCTTGCTCCACAAATTTCTCAAGGTAAAATAAAGCTTGGCCCCTACTTTTTAAAGCTTCTTTCGCTACTTTGCTACAGGTGTCAGTGTGCTGTTTAATGGCAAAAAAGCAATTAGCATTGATTCTTAAATAGATCGCTGGGTATTCTCGTGTTGTAGACCTTAGTTGTAACGTTAAATGTCTAATACTGATGCTTTTCATGCACACCAAGCAGATATCTTGCTATATGTGAGCATCTAGTTGTGTGATCTTCTACGCTATGAATGTGTGTGCATCTGCTGATGGGTAGGGATCTTTTCTCTCTTTTCTCCTACATTTTGATCCATTTCCTGAGTTTCCGTTTTAAACTACAGGAGTGTGCTGGCGAGCCTCTCTTCATGCTGTTCTGTGCCATCAAACAGCAAATGGAAAAGGGACCCATAGACTCCATCACCGGGGAGGCGAGATATTCCCTCAGTGAGGACAAACTCATCCGCCAGCAGACTGAGTACAAGACTCTGGTGAGTCAAAAAAAGCAGAAATGAAAAATGAAAATATACAGACCCAAATCTGGTCTGTACTCATTTATTTGTAGTTTTGTAAAAAAAAAAAAAAAAAAAAAAATTAAATTATATATATATATATATATATATATATATATATATATATATATATATATATATATATAAATATAAATACATAAATAAATAAATAAATAAATACATAAATAAATAAAGTCATTATGAATTTAGAGAAGCAATGCTCAGGTTCTCGCTTAGGAATCAGTTTAACTGTTCTAAACAAAATTTAAACATATGCACAGATTTCTATTTTTATAGATCTAAACAGAGTTTTAAAATGTCTAATGAAGCTGCAGTTGATTCGTGTCAACCTTTGTTTTTGCAAACGTCTGTTTGTACCGTAAATGATCAACTTTAAAGTTATGTTTAAAGCTTTTAATTCCTTCCTTTCAATTGAATTAAAAATCCAACCTTCTTAAACTCAAAAAGGTCAGAGAGCTTCATCTGTAGAAAAATGTTGTAAATAAATGCATAACTTAGAAGTTTCCCCTAACCTTTGTTTGATTCAGTGGGCTGCATGGTGGTGCAGCTGTTTGCACTGTTGCCTTGCAGCAAGAAGGTTGCAGGATTGAAACCCGACTGCAGTCTTTCTGCGTGGAGTTGCGTGTTCCCCCCATGCATGCGTGGGCTTCCTAAGGGTACTCCGGCTTCCCCCACAGATCACAACATGCCCTATAGGTATAGGAACAATTGTACTTCACTTTAGATAAAAGCTTCTGCCAAATAAATCATCGTGTGCAGCAGCTCATCAGGCTCTGTGGAAGCCTGTTAATCACCTGCTGATATCACATGTGCTGAAACAGGGTTAAAACTAAAACATGCTGGATACCGTTCCTCCAAGCCCAGAACTGAATAGCCCTGCGGACGGCACTTTCTTAATGTGTTTTCGTTAAACCAAAGGAAAAATCTATAAATGACCATAATGATGTAATGATTTAGATCATAGGAACCAAACTACAGGTGCTACATCACCAAGGTTACTCATGTAGTAGTTAAATCTTTGTGCCATCAAGACAGACAGTGTTTCATCATTTAGGAAATAACTTCCAGTTAATTGAAGATGGTTCATTCTAGATCAAAAGTGATCACTCCAATCATCCAGCAGAACCCCCCAGACAGATCATCACAGCGACATCATACCGGTCCAGAATTTGGCTTTTTGTCATCACCCATCCGGTGATTAATGATCAAATCTGGATGCTCAAAATCTACAGGAAAAAACACAGCTCAATATATTTAATGTCTTAAAAATAATTAAGAATACTCAGTCTGCCAAATAGCTAATTTTGTGTATGCTAATCAGCCCAGTCAAGTGGCATACCAACGACATGTTTTAGTCTTGTGTTTCCATTAAAACGGAGCTGGCTGGGTTTCTCCCGCAGCATCAGAGTAAGTGTTCCCTCTGGCTTTGGCTGCAGAGCAGAGCCAGTCAGCGACAAGATGACACCTCTCTGATCGCCGTGTCGGAGAGTGTGAGAGGCGCTGTCTCATTACTTGTTTAATGCTCCTGCCAGAGCAGCACAACCACATCCTGGAGGTGTGAAATTACATTTCAAGCCAAGATGCTCTCCACCAGGACAGTTTGGTGAGGAGCAGGTAATGAAAGGGCCTCCCAAGCAACACCTCTCGGGCTCACTTCTCTCTCTTTTTTTTCCTGCTCCCTTCTTCTTTTCATTCGGGATCTCCAGACGCTGAGCTGTGTGAACCCCGACAACGAGAACAGCCCAGAAATCCCTGTCAAGGTGCTCAACTGTGACACCATTACTCAGGTGAAGGAGAAGATCCTGGATACGGTGTACAAGAACACGCCATGTTCCCAGCGACCTCGAGCCACATACATGGACCTGGGTGAGCATGGATGACAATCAGCTGTGACACATTACCTGTTGGAGTAATGACAAGTGGGAAAGGTTCACCTCACAGTGACCATGCGAATACAAATAAGCAAAGATGTTCGACATCAGCAGAGAACTCCACACCACACCAGTTTGCAACACCCCATGAATGACAGTAAGCCTTTCTGACAGAACACCTCCACCCAGGCTTACACCCACCACACGTCAGCACACTGAATGACACGGCACAAATTCAGGTGGGATTCACCGTCAAAGGGAGAAAATCAGGCACCTTGTTGGTCGTGGCTGATACTGCTTTGGGCTTTTACACCTTGAGGGGTTTTTGGGTGAAGGGTGTTTGGAGTTCTGTTGGTTCGGATCACTTTAGGAAACACGCTGTCATTTTTGTTCAGCTCATAGGATAAAAATGTGTAATTCTCAAGGACGAGATGCAACCTTGGTGACATTCTGTCGGCCACGCTTGACAACTCTTTAAAGAATAAAACAGGATAACGTAACCTCGTGGGTAGTGCAGACAAACAATCCATATCAGACATGAGAAAATATGTGTCAGACAGGCCGGGTCTAAACATTACCTACAATACCACACATTCACAGCTGGCTTCTCTTTTCTCCAGAGTGGCGGCAGGGAAGAACAGCTCGTGTGGTCCTGCAGGATGAGGACATCACAACGAAGATCGAAGGCGACTGGAAGAGACTCAACACCCTCATGCACTACCAGGTGAGTAAATGAAGCAGCACAAGGGATTTTTGTGATTTTCGGTGGAGTTTGCACATTATTTCCAATTTTTACTGTAAGAACACTGAACGATGCCTAGTAGCCCAATTTCCAATATGGGAGTTCTGGGAAATTTCTGCGAAAGGGAAACATGACCGCTGCTCAGTCCTCTTGTCCTCTGCATCTCAAAAACGGCCTTTTCAGGACTTTTAAAAATGTATTCTTTATTTAACCAGGAAAGTCCCACTGAGTTAAAAACCTCATTTTTAAAGGAGTCCTGGTCAAGACGCAGCTAAAGTAGCAGTATGTCTTTGGTAAGACGTCAGCATATCGCCACTGTCTCAGCAGTGCGTGATGTCACTGATCAGCACCAAAAGGTATACACAGACATCATCATGGTGATGCATTTGTATAACGCCTTCTTAGGGTTCTACAGTCCCCCAAGGTGCTTTACAACACAATCCGTCATTCACTCATTCACACACACTCATTCACACACTCATTCACACGCTGGTGGGGGTGAGCTACCATGTAGCTAAGGCTGCCCTGGGGCGCACTGACAGAGGCGAGGCTACCGAGCACTGGCGTCACCGGTCCCTCCAACCACCACCAGCAGGCAAGCTTGGTTAAGTGTCTTGCCCAAGGGCATAACAGAAGCATTCTCTGGTCAGAGCCGGGATCAAACTTGCAACCTTCCGATTGCTGGACAACCCACTCTACCTGCTGAGCTACTGCAGCCCATTTATTAACGTTAAAATTTTTATTATCTCAAAGTTTGCTGTAATTTTATCCATTTGGGGAATAGGGAGAGTAGCTGTGTGACGTAAAATGACCAGAAGAAGTACTGAGTGAGACCACAAGTGCTGTGAATTACGACATTGCATGTGTGTGTGTGTGTGTGTGTGTGCGTGCGTGCGTGCGTTTGTGCGTGTGCGTATGTGTGTGTGTGTGTGTGTGTGTGTGTGTGTGTGTGTGTGTGTGTGATTTTAAAGCAGCATGAACACTACTTATTTTATTTTCGTTACATTCCACTTCACCGGCAACTCTTCAAAAATGACAAATTGGATGTTTGGTGATGCCATTTCCTACTGAGTTACAACCAATCAGCATGACTTGTTAACCACAAGTCAGACAGACAAATCCTACCAGGCCTTTCTGGGTACATACCCCAGTTCAGGTACTCCACTGGTTCCTGAAGTGGCCTGGAAAATGGTCGTCTCGGGCTAGCACGTTGAAATGGAAACACAAGTTGCGAAGGTCTGGTAAAACTACTCGTGAGTTCCAATAGTAGAAACGGACTTAAAGTTACCAATAACATAAAAATAGATTGTTTAAAGGAATGTTTAAAATTAACAAGTTATGATAAAAAAAAGAAGAATTTGCCAAACAAAATTGTATTTTATGTTTTTAAAATGTTCAAAATTATTTCATTTGCAAAATTTCACAAATATCAGCTTTAGCAGACTTGTCAAACAAAACCCGGCCACCATCAAATGTTATCTTTGTAACAAAAGCTTAAAGGCAGCACAGAATTTATTACGTAGTCCTAAAATTCAGAAATCCACCACGCCATCCAGATTCACCTGACTTCTGCGGGTGAGGAAAGTGACCTGATCTACAAACAGCTGTCCCCGTGGGAGAAGCAGAAATGAGCCACAAGCAAAGCACCTGGTGATAATCAGTAGCCTGGCCTGCCAGACTCGTCCTCTGTTTAATTCTGCACAGAGAAAGAGTCTGGTAACTCACAGGCAGAGAGGCACTTGAGGGGCGGGACTAGGCAGCTCAAAAATAACCAATCAGAAAAAAGACGGAAATGCCAACCGTACCAAGCAACGCTGTAGTTTATTAGCTGTAGTAAAAAAAGGCATCTGGCAATGGCGCAAACATCTTATTTATTTATTTATTTATTTATTTATTTATTTATTTATTTATTTATTTATTTATTTATTTATTTATTTTTGTTACGGATCATGGGCTCCCGCACCTTGAATGGCCCAGTCCTGCTCCCTCCATGCTGTTCAGGACCTTGGACAGGTCCTTCATCAGGCTGGCCTCCACCTCTACCCACCTTTGCTGTCCCGGCTGCAAACCATTAACTAATGAGGACAGATGGTTTAAAAGGACTGCAGCTTCAGTTCTCGTGGAGAGATTGACAGCTTAACACCCTGTCTTTTTCTCCTCAGTTTTGATCTTTGTGACATACGGTTTAGATTTGGCGAAATTCGGTAAAGAACTTGGATAAGCGTGGTAGTTAAGATAGATCGTTCCTTTTGTGTAACATTCGAGTAATTATTAGTCATTTTCGTTTAGTGATCCCGTTTTGTCTGCCATAGTGCTTGAATTTCAGTTTGTTTTTCCGCTTTAGAGCGCGCTTTAAGTTTCGTTAGTAGTAATATTTAGAATAGAAATAGCCGTCGAGATTTGTTTTAGTTAGTTAGTTCTGGCATTTTTCTTTTGTTTGTTAGCACCGATATTCTTGTGTTTTTTTCCCTGAGACCATTTGTCTCAGGTGTTTTGAGTTTTCTCCGTTGCCTTCGTTAGTTACATCCGAATATATTTTGCGTTTTGTATTTTCCAGTCAAGGACTGAGTGATTGTGTTTGCCCTTGTTAATAAAAATACATTTTATTTACACTCCCCTCTTTCTCCGCACCAGTTTTTGTGTTACCCCTCTACCACAACGCCTAAATAACTTCAGGGTTTGTAACATTTTTGAAGAAAGACTTTTAGAGCTTCTACTTGTTGTTTTAAAGACATGACAAGGCATTTAGAACAGAGGAAAGAGCCACAGCAAACTCTGCCGCTGTCTTCGTTGTTTATGAGAAACTGACCGTCGCTGTGTGCGACGTCTGCGATGCTGTAGTATTTTAGCTGTAGTTAAAAATGGTGCCGGGCGACGGCACAAACATCTTTCTTTATAAGAAAGGCTTTTAGGGCTTCTACTTGTTGTTTTAAAGACATGTTCAAGTCATTTAGAACAGAGAAAAGAGCTGCAGCAAACTCCGCTTCAGTCGCCATGTTTATGACAAACTCGGCGTTATGGTGTGTGACGAATACTACTCAGCGCTGATTGGCTCCGTTAGAATTCTCAGGGGGGTGGGGTTATTTGAATAGGAGAGTTCCCAGACCCTTTCTCTGTGCAGAACTAAACAGAGGACGAGTCTGGCAGGCCAGGCTAGATAATCAGGACCCAGTAAATCATTTTAATTGACACATGTGGCTTGTTTTGGTTCAAAGTGATGAAAGCATGAACTGGTTCCCGTCCTCGTGTGTTTTACATTCTTTAGCTCAGACTAAAAGATGCTTTTCATAAGATCTGCTTTGAAAATCCATACTTTCCCACATCAGTGTCACCAAACTTTGCCTTTTGATTTCAGACGCATCACTTTTATAGCTCACAAATGAGTAAAAATGAAAAGGAGACAAAACTGAGCATCACACCATCATGTCAGAGGCAAAAGTCTAACTATCCTCTTTTTCCTTGGCGCATTTCATCTGAGTGATACATAGTGACATTTAAGTAAGACCTAACTTTGCACAAGGTTGTAGTAAATCAGTTTTAGTCAAACCTACATGGACTCTTAGATCTTTTGTCACACAACTGGATCAGCTTCATGCTTCTTCAGACAGCTGACATTTCATCAAAGGTTTTATTGAAATTCAGACAAAGGAGGACATAAAAATCTTTTGTATATTCCGGCAGCAAAACCATGCTTTGACACTAAAAGGCTGCACATTTGCTTTACCTTCAAATGAGATCAGTAACGTTACGCTTTCATTTTATTTTCATATGGGAGATGTAATAGTGTTGTGTTGCTCAGATGGATTTGGTGTAAACTAAATATGTGGTTTGTACAAAGCAGCAGCAGCATTTTCGCCTCATGCTTTGGATGACTCGGCCTCCAGACATTGTTACTGCGTTCAGCATTCTGCTGGAACTGCTTTACGCGCACACGCACACGCGTACGCGCGCACACACACACACACAGAGTGCAGAATCAATTCAAGGATCTTTTTCACCAGAAGCACTTTTAAAATCTAACAAATTAGACCTGCATCTCAGCAAGACCGTACCAAACGATTGTCAGACTCATTCATGTTTTAAACACTTTTTCTACATTTAGGCAAAATATTAATTTATTTTCTAAATTAATAATCTAAATTCCTGCCATGATTATTTTGACTAACATTTCTGCACCTCTTGTCTCTCAGGTGTCTGACCGCTGTGTGGTGGCCTTGGTACCCAAACAGATGTCTTCTTTCATCATCCCTTCCTCGGCCAGCTTCCCACGCAGCATCAGCAGATACGGTCAGAACTGTGGAAGAAATTCAAGCACCTTAATATTAATCCTACTCTTCAGATCATTGCATCACATTTTCTTAGGGAAAACTGTAGGGTTTAATCATCCCAATTTAGCTTTTAATAAAAAGCATCTCAGAAACTGCAGTTTGAAGTAAAAGCATCAAACATTTAGTCTTTCTCAGATGAGAAGAGCTGAAACGTGAAATAGTGAATTAAGCTTGGTGAGAATGCATATATGACTGAGGCGTTACTATGACAACCAATGAAATAATGACAGAAGCAGATTACGAAGTCTAAACGTGTGTCAAACCTGCTCTTCTGCAATGAAGACAGTCAATCAATCAAATCAATCAAATTTTATTTGTATAGCACCTTCTACAACATTATCGGAAGCCGAAGGTGCTGAACAACATCATTAAAAGAAAAACATTCCCAGTACATGGGCATAAAAGCAGGATAAAAACATAAAATCATAAAATATCAAGCAAACACTATTACAGATAAGAGATATCGGAATAAGACTAATCGATAAAAAAACAAATGTCGGACAAAATAAAATCAAGCATCTGGGTTAAAAAGAAGAATAGTTAAAACCATAATGTTAGGGCAATTCAAATGACCCTAGCGCTAAAACGCAATCAGATAAAAATGAGTCTTTAAACGAGACGTCATCCGTATGTTTATGAAAGACATACAATTTCAGATGTATGAAGAAGAAAAAAGGGCTTATTTTATTTGACTTAAGAGTTACAAGAAAACCGGCTTAAAATGATTATTTCTCATATTTGAAAACAAGGTGTGGATGTCCCATTCCGCTCCACCCCCACCAGCCCCGACAGCCCCCACTCCAGAGTGCCCATGCTCACTCCTGACATGGAGAGCGGCGTCAAAGTTTGGCACTTGGTCAAAAACCACGATCACGGGGACCAGAAGGAGGGTGAACGGGGCAGCAAGATGGTGTCTGAGATCTACCTGACGAGACTACTGGCAACAAAGGTGACACATAAGAATTTACTTAATTAGAAATTGAATAACGAAGCCTTGGACAGAACGTTAAAGAGCAAGTCACCTCCTATCAGAGTCTAGCTCCACTCCCATTTCTTGTTTGAAAAACGTGCTACAAGGAGGCATTGCCTGGCAGACAAAGAGGGCGGAGCCACTAACAAATACACACACAGGCATTGTGACATATGGTACCAGCTAACGTCAAAGGGTACCTCTTAGCCAATAGCGATGGCAGATTTAAATTCAAATGTAGTAAAGAGTGTTTACCTGAAGATGGCACAGCACTCATAGTTGTAGGCAGAATAATTTAATTTTAACTAAGAAGCAGTAAAGTGCCAAGTTATTGACTACTATGTGTTTACAGCACAATCACACACTCATTTATGTAGTTTATCAGCAAAACATTTTATCCGTGGGTGACTTGCTCTTTAAAGACTCCCGAACATATTAATGTGAGAAAATGTGATTTGAAAATTGGATTGCGGGGATTTTGTTGTGCAGCATCCATGTGGAATTAAAGAAACGTTCCAAGAATGATAAAATGTGGGAAAAGTGATGAATCTTAAAGTTGGTGGAGGCTTGTTTTGTTAATAAACCGGCGGTGTCAAACGTTTACGTCATCGCTCAGCAGGAGGGTTTGATAGATGTAGAGATATTGAGAATCAACATCATCATGTTAAACACCATGATGTAACTCAATGTAAGCTGTGCACCAAAAGAAAAATGACTAAGATAAAACAGTCAGTGGACATTTTCTAGCCTTTTTTAGAACCATCAAACATTTTCCACCAGGGAAAAACATCTTGGATGCAAACTTTGTTTACCCGTAACTGAAAATGATCCTAGAACAACAACAATCTGGAACCAGACGTACAAAGATGTTCTGTTTCCACTGATTTCTTCTTCAGGGCACTCTGCAGAAGTTTGTGGACGACCTGTTTGAGACTCTATTCAGCACCGTGTGTCGGGGCACCGCCCTGCCTCTCGCCATCAAATACATGTTCGACTTCCTGGATGATCAGGCTGACAGGCATGGCATCCATGACATGGATGTTCGCCACACGTGGAAGAGCAACTGGTGAGAACCATCTATGATTTCTGTGTGTTTTGTTATAAGTTGTGAAATAAAACATAACTTTTGATTTGGAAAACTCCAATATTCTGAAGAAAACTGGGCATTTGAATGTCTACTTCACTATGTTAACAATACATAATTATGTCTAAAAGTAGAATTTTTACATGCATGTTGATGCAGAATTTTTGGGGGGTTTCAATTAAAATATTATACAACATTGTGGTGTAGAAGGACTTATAATGCAGGCTTAGAGGCAGATTATTTCTACACTGAAAGCAGAAGCAGCTGGCTGATCAGCAGATGAAGGACAGATGTGCAAGGTGCTAAATAACCTGAAGAGCAGAGAAAAGCACCAGCAAATGTTACAGAGATAAAAGGAAAATCTTCAAAGTCCTAAAATCTTAAACCTCAACACCGAAACCCTGTGATTTCGTCTTCACCTAAAATGTGAGCCAATCTACCAATGAGATATAAAAATGACTGACGTCTGAAATTCAGCAGATTTAAGCAAGAATCTTGAAATTTCTTAGTAAACACTGTTCACATCTCCATTCTCAGCTACTTGACTCATCTTGGCTATTATTATTTTTCCAGTAAGATGAATCGACTACAAACTGAAAATAAACATTTGTGTTTTGCAGTAAACATCCGCAGCCTGAAATGTTTATATTTCTGTTTTCAGCCTCCCGCTGCGCTTCTGGGTGAACGTAATCAAGAATCCCCAGTTTGTATTCGACATCCATAAAAGCAGCATCACAGATGCCTGTCTCTCTGTGGTGGCTCAAACCTTCATGGACTCCTGCTCAACGTCCGAACACCGATTGGGCAAAGACTCCCCATCCACCAAGCTCCTCTACGCCAAGGACATACCACATTACAAAAGCTGGGTAGAAAGGTGTGTGTCTGAAATCACACAAGACAAATGTGTGACCAATAAGGTTTATGCTTTTAGTAATAAAATTATGTTTTTTTCTTTGACAATGTATATCTCCATATAGAAGAGCATGATCTCTATTTGAACAATATTAACATTAATAAATGGTTTAACTCATGAATGACACATTTATTTTATATTTTTCCACACAAACACCTCTGATGTATGGATGTTTTTAAAGCCAGAATTGCAAATCTGCTAAACAAGCTAGCTTAAAACATTTTTTCATGCCTCTTAAAGGGGAACTAGGCAGTTTTGGCTTGCTTTTAGCACCCCCTAGTGTTTGCTTGTAGAGCAGAAAGCAAAACATCTCTCTTTGTTGTGTGTTCGTCTTTCTAACACCTTGATCTAACAGCTGAAATGTCTCCCAGCCTTCATTAGTGTCTACAGGAGTGATTCATCACTAAATTAAACACATTAGCTGTGTTCATGATCTAAAACATGCAGGAAATGTCAGGTATGTCAGCTCCATTTTTAAAGTCCCAACACAGAGCGGCCCACCAGTCTGAAGTTGCAAGTGGAATATTCTGGCCACGGGGGCGATAGGGGCGGGGTGGCCTTTCATTAACCCTGCAAAGCAGGGCTATTCAATTCTGAGCCTTGAGGGCTGGTATCCAGCACCATTTTGGTTTTAACTCTGCTTCAACACACCTGATTTCCAGCAGCAGGCGATTAACAGGCTTCTGCAGAGCCTGATGAGCTGCTGCACAGGTGATTCAAACACTGAATGTAGTGTGTTGGACTACAGAAATCACCAAAACGTGCTGGATACCAGACCTCAAGACCCAGAATTGAATAGCCCTGCTGTAAAGGGTCATTTTAGCACATACTGGCTCAAGAAAATGATCTAAAAATAAGAAAAAGTTGCAAAGTATCCTTTTAACAACATTCTAACACAGTATAGCTATAAATATTTGGGGGAGTTTCTTGCATTTGCCTAAAGACCTCCTCCTATAACACGGCTCAGTCCAAAACCAACGATTGGACCATCCAAACCACCGCACTTCTGCATTCACCTTGGACCTCTATTCATTACTCGCATATTTAACAACAAATCACCACTGGTGTGAGAAGCTCTCTGCTCAATAATATTAGAGAAGGAGAAACAGTCGACTGCTACCACTTCAGCTTTAGGACAAGCTACCAGAGTCCCAAAAAGAAAAACACCATTTGACGTCATGAACAATAAGACGTTTGGATGTTGAAAACGGCGACTGGTGTTTAGTCCTACCTCGTTTCCTCTAGCAATGCGGGTTCCGGTATACTGCAGTTGTGGCCTAATGATGATAGTTGACAGGAGTAGCGAGTGTTCTGTGACTGTATTTGCATTTAAAAGCTAGCTTGTTTTGCAGATTTGCTATTGCAGCTTAAACACTGAATAACCTTTGACTTTTCAACAACAACCAGCTGACTCACAATGAGATCAGAAGCTTTGACACACATGACTATCCTTGACACCGATGGTGTGTGTGTGTGTGTGTGTGTGTGTGTGTCCTCTCAGATACTACGCTGACATCAGCCGCCTACCTGCCATCAGTGATCAGGATATGAATGCCTATCTGGCTGAACAGGCTCGCCTCCACTCCAGTGAGTTCAATGTGCTCAGTGCCCTCCATGAGATCTACGCGTACGTCAGCAAGTACAGCCAAGAGGTGAGGGTTCGTCCACACAAAGCAGGATTTAATGGGCTTTATCTTCCATTTGCATATAATAAATAGGTGTTTGTCTGTAAACACTTGAACATTTTGCTTTGCTTAGTTTAAAACTGCGAGGACCATCACCCACAGCACGGCTCTAACACTTCCAAACTGGGTTTGGCAATTTGAAGTTTCCTGTTTTCTTTTGAACTTAACGGATTGTGGTAAACTGAGTTGCCCACTTGTTCAAACTGTTATGAACAAAGTTGATTGGAAAGCTGAGTTTAGTTTGCATTCACACAAGCACATAATGACTGAGGTGTTTTCCTTTTATACATTTTTGTTGATGTGTCAGCGTTGCAAAGTAATTGTCCACCAGGACAGCAGGGGATGTAGACATGTTCTGGTGGGTCTCACTACCATTGCAGAGATGTCTCTGGTGACAGCTTGTCTACTTCAGCTTGTAAAGGCAAATCCACTCAAGGAGCAATGGCCGACTGAGAGTGGGTTTTCAATAAAGGTGTGGATCACTTGTTTAATTGATGCATTTTTCAGTGGTCTCTAGTAGGAATGAATGTCTTGTAAGTTGTACTCAGGGTGGCTTCTAAATGATCAGATACTCCAAAATACAAACTATAAATTCTCTGAGCTTTAAGGTATTTTCAGATTTCAACCAACAGTCGAGAAATGCTTGCAATTAGTTTAGACAATAAACAAATTCTTACAAATGTAGGACTACATTTAAAACATCATTAAACTAGGCTAACTTGTTTGGGACTCCTGCCATTAGATGTGATCATTTCAGTGGATTGCACATCAAATTTCTGTAATATATATAAAAAAACTGGTGCAACTGGTGCTATTCCCACAGCCGACTCACAAAAGAACTCCTCACTTTGGTTTAACTGTCCAACATATGTGACATTTGTTTTTCTGTTTCAGATCACTGAGGCTCTGGAGCAGGACGAGCAGGCCCAGAGGCAGAAGCTGGCCTATAAAGTGGAGCAGATCATCTTAGCCATGTCTGCAGAGAGCTGAGATTCACACCAAAAAATAATAATACAGCTTACACAAATAAACACGCACGCACATGCACACGCACACACACACACACACACACACACACACACACACACACACACACACACACACACACACACACACACACACACACACACACACACACACACACACACACACAGACTTTAGAGAAAATGGACCTACTGTGTGAACAGACAGACAATATCCACCCACACACATGCATAATTACATGAATACAAATGTACATACACAAACCACAACACACATCAAACAGCAGAATGTCCCAAAGCCTGACTTATGAAACCAACTTGACATTTTTAAATTTTATTTTTATTTTTGTAAAAGAAACCAACATTCAGCCTCTAAAACACTCCCAACGGAGAGGAGTGAAAAAAGGACTGGGGACATCATGGTTGCAGAATTTACTGCCAGCTCCTTTCCACCGAGCAATGGTTTGTCTTTGTAGTTGATGCTTTTACTAAGTGTGTGTGAGGCATGGCTGGAGCTCAGGAGAAAGCTGCACTTAAAAAAGAACGTGAAAAAGTCACCGGAGGACCGAATTTAATGGGACAAAACATCTGGACAGATGAGATTCAAAGTACCTTTTTTGTACGTCAGACACTTATTCTCACCACATATCACTGTTTGCAGCAATTTGCAGAAGAGATCTTGTTGGTGTAACATGTTTCTTTTGGGGCTTTAAGAGGCCTGATCACCTGTACCTTTAGCTTTAGAAAGTAGTAAACTTCGCCACCGACGAGGCGTTTAATAATCCAGATCACGGACTTCTAATTTTAAACATTCGAAGAGGTACTTTGGGCCCACTTACTGGCTCTTAGTGCCAAATATAATGCATCTCGTGTTTTATCCAAGTTAAACGCTCCTGTCAAGGCGATTAATAAAACATGCCATTGTAGGGAAGAGATCTCATTTGAGATGGGACACTTCCACGGTGATCTATGGACCACTAATTCAGCCATTCACAGATAAGTGGAGCCCAAATTGAGCTGTAGCAGAACGCATGATTAATGATGTTATAAGCGTTATTGTGGATCAGATTAGCCAAACCCCACTCACCCCCCCTCCCTTCCATCTCATCAGCTATTGTTTACCTCCAGCTTAATACTTGAAATATACCCGGTGTGCAAAATATTAGGAACACCTGCAGCTCCTATGAAGTAATCTGGATGGATTAAGTTGGACCAAAGCCTTGATAGTTTATTGATTTCCTCAATACATCTAACTTAAGCATGGCCTGGAAATCAAATCTAAGGAAGATAATTAAGGATTTTGGTTTAAGACCAAAAAGGAGCTGTAGTTTACTGTAAAGGAAGTGTTTCTTACATTTTGTAAACAGAGTGGATGTTTATTTAACTAAATATGTATCTGGTTTTTGGTCCTCGATAAATGCGTTTGTTGCATCACGCCGCTGTTGTTGCTTTACATAGACGGTTCTTGTGTTTCATCATACATGTATAGGTATTCCATGTTTTATTTTCACATTGCAATGTCTGACCTGGCTTCATGTCTTTATGCTGCTGTAGTTACGGTGCCATTTTTGAACCTTAAAATTTTATCATCATCGTAGAAAAGAAAATATCTGTCTTAATGTCACACCTATTCAGGGTTTTTTGTTTTGATCTTTTCACCTAACAGAGTGATGACGGAGGGAGGCTTTTGTGTGCTTCAGTCCGATTCATCACAAGCTTAAGCTCTGAGTCATCCGTAGCGCTGCTGATGTGACCAGGTCAGTATTCGTGGAGTTATTAAACTCCTCACAGGACCTTGACTCGTGTTATTATAAAAGAAGAGAAAGTTTTAAAGAAATGCATTTCATGTTAAGTGTTAAAATACAAAACTTATCTGTTTCATTTGTGGTTTGATAATTTATAAATGTGTTGTGCAATAAACAGTCAGATGTTCAAACTGTAATGTTTTTAAACTATATATAACTGTACAAATACTGTATATAAAAACACTCCTATTTTGCAAGTAAAAGATTCAATTTTTACTGTTGTTATACATTAAATAAGCAGCTGATGACAAAGAATTTTGCTTTGATTTATTTATGATTATTTGCTAAGTTATTGTACAACAAAAAGTGTAAAAAACAAAAAAAAATTATTTATATTTTGCAATATATTTTATATTTTGCTATTTCTGTTTGAACGTCTTCCACTGATGCAGTTGGAGGCTAGCAAACTTTAACCCTGCCACACATAACGGGATAATCCATTGTTACCATGTTAGCGGACAATTAGCATGCTAATTTAATTCTCAAACTCTTATTGAGTTTTCACAAGAAAGCCTTTAAATGCAAGATGTCAGAGATGACCTGAAATCTCAGGAGTAAATCTATCATTCAGCCATTAAAGCTCATGTTAAACTCAATTAAACACACACACACACACACACACACACACACACACACACACACACACACACACACAAATTATATTGAAACGCCAGTGATGCCACCAATTATGGAGAATACATTACCGGTTTAATAAAGGTGTTAGCAAATACCAAATGACTATGTAGGTTTCTAATTTGTACTATTTTCCTTGCGTTAAATTTAAATTCATATAACAACATTTTTAGGCCTCAGATTTAATCAATTTCCCCCTGGGATTAATAAAGTATTTTTGAATTGAATTGAATTGAATTTCACCTTTCCGGCACCTAAAATGTTGCTCTAAACCTATTACAAAAGAGTTTCAGTGTAGGTCACACTAATCAAAACAATCATAAAACTTAATGACATTAATGACTTCTCTGGGGTAAGGAGGAAGGGGATTCATGGGTAATTTCAGCTTGTTAAGCAACAACAGGCAGTGGCTTGACTCCCATATTCTAGTCAGAATTGACAAAAGTCAGACAGAAGTCCGGTTGCCTTCATTTGAACTCTTTGGCTTATATTTTTAGAGAATTTCCTGAAAACGTATGATCCTATTTTTATGTAAATTAAAAAAAAGACAAAATGCTTTTTAAATTTCTTCACATTTGGCAGATTTATTAGTGCATTTGGCAGGATTTAAATGCACATGTGTTGGATTCCTGTAAATCCGTCGGCAAGAAAAGGGCATTGTATTTCCAGGCCAAACACAAGTAAAGCCTTTAAGGAACAGTCTTCCATTTTGTTGATCTTGCTCGGGAGGCAAGACAAACGTACACAGTGACTGGATGGTGACCAAGTGGTTTCGTCTCCATGTGGGAAATCAGGATTTTCATTTTTCAAACACAGCTTCACTGCTGTGGATGAGCGTCGGCTAGTTCTCATCTCAAATACGCGTTCTAGTCATTATAAACGACTCGTGTGAATATTCACTGCAACAAATGATTTTCATGTAAAAAAAAATTATAAAAAAGGCCTTGTTTCTAGACATTTCATCTTATATTTCATCTAAAAAAATTAAAATTTCATTTGGAAAAACAGCACTAATTGAAATAATGGCAGTAGCATTTAATATTATGACGAATCAACTTTTGTTTTGGTTTTGGTAAAAAATAAAATTTAAATAAAAAAAATAACCAAAGGTTGAAGCTAAAGTTGCTTGGCTAGAATTCTTAAATAAAATTCTTTCATTTTTTCCCCCCAAAATTTTTCAGTGGTCACAAGGAATCCTTGTGAGTCATTACTTGTGGGAAGCTCCCTTGTTCCTGTTTCAGCACGTAGACTTTAGCTGGAGATGTGCTGGGAAAAAACACATCTGCATGGTGGCGCAGTTGTTAGCACTGTTGCCTCGCAGCACGAAGGTTGCAGGTTTGAAACTCGGCTGCGGCCTTTCAGCGTGGAGTTGCGTGTTCTCCCCATGCATGCGTGGGTTTCCTCCGGGTACTCCGGTTTCCCCACAGATCACAACATGCCCTATAGGTTATAAATTGTAAGTCGCTTTGGATAAAAGCGTCTGCCAAATAAATAAACATAAACATAAATAGCAGGATTTGGAGTCCAACTCAATATTATCCATGATATCATCTTGTGTCTAATTGGCTAAGGCCTCGTTCACGCTGAATTGAGAATGAATGCAGTCCAGTTTTGTACAGATTTCACACAGACCAAAAATCATTGAGTCCAATCAGAGCATTCACATCGGCTGTGGTGTGGATCTCGGTGAAGATTTTCTGCATGGAGTCTGTTTTATCCAGGCGCCGCATTCGGATTGTCATGAAGTTAAAGAAATTATATGAGCCAGACAGGAAGTGAGATATTTAGTAAAACACATCCAGTTTAATTCAAAACAAAACAGGTTTTGGATCGTTTTTCTGGCTTTTGTTTTATTATTAAGTGTTATCAGTTTACTGTGTATGACTCTTATTTTTACAAGAATATTTTTAAATGTATTCTGTAAAATTTCTAATAATTTGGTGCTCTTGTGGGAGCAGATTTCCGAAGACGTAAAGCACATGAACTGCAGTCAGTGTGAATGGCGGTTCATCTGGAAGCCGCACAGAAACTGGACCGCATTCGTGCTGTGCTCGGTGTGAACGAAGCGTTACAGCAATGCAACTCCAGGACGAAATCCCTTCGCTCAGAAAAGTTGATGTTCACAAGCCTGAAGGAGTTCTGCCATATTGTGGACTTGCTAATGCTAACGGTTAGCTTCTACTATAGCCAAGACGCAAAATTCAATGTAATCCTTCCCGGTCGCAAGTCAAGTTGGGTGAGTCCATGAATGCAAATTTATAGTTTGACATAGATCTGTGTGTGGCTTTTTCTGTCTGATTTCTGTCAGCGGCTAATACAGGAAATAGGGGTAGAAGAGTATTGTCACATTCAGCCTTCAACTGAAAATCAGACTGACTGAAAAAATAATTGTAAAAAGTGGATCATTAGTGAACCTGTTCTTTAAATAAATCCAACAGTAGATTCATTTGCCAGTTTTGAGAATTATATTCAAGAACATTTACCTTATTTCATTTTTTACCCAAAGACTCAAAATTAGATCAAATGTCTAAATCCTTTTCACTTTCTTGAAAATCAGTTTTTGCAGTGCACCAACATTAAAAAACACCCAAAAGAGATGAAAATCTAAAAAAGGGGACAGATGACCTTGTGAAACAACAAAGATTTTGTGGAAAGTGTAAATAAAAGCATGTGATAAACAGGAGCTCACACCGTGACAACATTAGGTACAGCGTGCAAGCTGCATATAAGCACAGCTGAACACTAACCATAAGGATCTCGAATCCATAATTCATGCGCAACCCTCGGGTTCTGTGGCAAGAAGAGCAGAAGAGGGTGGAGGTCAGAAGGGCTGTCCGAACCGCCAGGACTCCCCCACCCATATGACCTGTCAGATCCAGGTAGGGTGTCAACAGTGTTGAAGAGTCTTCTGTACAGCTGCCAGACTCTAACCCCTCGTCTTGCCTCTCTCCACTCTTTACTTGTCAGAGAACCAACACTCAGTATTCCCACTCGCTTCCTTTTCCAGCACACACACACACGCACAGGAAGAAGGATCATTAGGACTCAGGACATTTCAACTGACAGCTGAGGTGTCTGCAGGACAGGCTCCTGATAGACTGGTAGGAGGAAATCAGACAGGTTTATTGGGCTACTACACCCGTCGGAAATAATTTTATCCTTCCAGTCGTGGCAGATTTCATATTTTATCCCACCCTGACCCAAGGCCGCCATGACTACATTATAAAAACGAGATGTTGAGTAAAACTGTGTGACAACTTATTTCTGAGAAATCACCCATTTATTTTTCTTCACTGAAGATATCTTCAGCTTCTGTCTCTTGAGCAAAACATTTGATTCAAGAAGAAAATGTTCTCATGCACAAAGCTTGCATCTTTAAGAATAATTCAGGCTGTGGGCTGATCTGTGGAACGAATGCAGAAGTGAAAAGTCCTTGGACTTTCTATTTACATGAATAAATGTATAAAATGCAGATGTGGCTCTTCCTCAGAACGGGGCTATTATTTTATCACGTGCTAAAATGAAGGACATTACACAACCCTGAACACAAGCTCCGATGATTAAAGAAATGATTAGTTTAATCTAAGAAACCAGATTTGAAGATGGGAACAAATTAATGTATATTTACTAAAAGTGAACAACTGGGGATTTTTCCTTTTAATCACTTCCCTTTGATCCAAGCTTTGAATTATTGCAGCAGTGTGAGTTTTAAACTCTTGAGCCTTATTCTGAAACGTTGCTGATTTCCCCTATTTTTTGTCCAGCCCTTGTACCTGGCCGTAGCGGCAAGTGCATTGTGTGCTATAGTAATTATGAAGAAAGGGGTCAAAAATAGAGGTCTCCATCTTCAGTGGATTAAACGCAACTGATATTATATTGGAAAAAAATCCCTCACCTCAACTGACTTTTAGTTTTTGAGCTTTAAGGTGCAATAAGCAGTGTTGGGAACGTTACTTTGAAAAAAGTCATTAGTTGTAGTTACAAATTACTTTGCCAATTGGTAACTCAGTTACATCTTTTAGTTCTTTTTAAACCACAGAAAGGTTTTATTTACCTGCAACGTTTCGTTTGCGGCTGCCGTGTGAAGAAAAATCTAATAAGCTACTTGATAAAATAAATCACATCTGTCAGTAACATCTGATCACAGGTGGACTCAGGAACATTCTTCACAATTTGTCTTTCATTCTCCAAAAGTAGCTTTACAATTCTTCCATTTCTGGTTGAAATGACCTTAATCGGCCACCAAATGAGAGCAACAGCTTTGTTGTTTGAATATGTTCAAATGGAAAAGCAACACTGAATGACACTGATGAAAAAATGAACTTGAATTAAAATACCTTGTCTGTGGATCTGAGCTGCACAGCAGCTCACTAATGCCATCTTCTGGCCAAACGTGTTACAGCAAAGATGCCCTGGAAACAAAGAAAAATGAGAAACACCTATTTTTATTTTTAATTTAAGGTAAAGCAAATGTGAGAAAGCCGAAAAACCAAATGCAGTTACCCAAAGGAGAGTGTTGTTAGCTTTGTGTGTGTGTGTGTGTGTGTGTGTGTGTGTGTGTGTGTGTGTGTGTGTGTGTGTGTGTGTGTGTGTGTGTGTGTGTGTGTGTGTGTGTGTGTGTGTGTGTGTGTGTGCAAGCGTGCACAGGCGTGCGTGCCTGACTGCATTCCTGCAGGTCATGGTGCCTGCATAAAGCAAAGCCAAACCGAACCTTCAGACCGTACAGCAAACCCACACAGGGACGTCCCTCAAGCACATTTTGTTTTGAGAAGAGATGATTTCATTGGTCTGGTAGGTTCCTTTGTTTTGCTCCCTCCTTTTTTCTGTTCACTTGAAGGGCACTGGCTGCTCAGCACCAAAAGGGAACAAACATCTTCTGCTGTTTGAAACGTTATCCCCTCCTCCTCCTCCTCCTCCTCCTCCTCCTCCTCAACTTTACCTCCTTCTCAGCTTCCCGCTCTGCACTCATGAAATCACTTTAAGTCAGACACCCTCCTACGTAGCCAGTCACTGAGTTTTATGGGATTTATGGCTCCCATTTTTAAAGCTCCATAAATTCAGCATTACAATGTGTTTGTAGTTATATTGCTTGGACAAATAAATAAAACTGTCCCCCTAAAAAAAGGTGTTCTTGTGATTTTACCCACAAATTAATTATTCTATTAAAACAAAATGTAAATGAATAACTCAGAGCAAAATACATGCTTTTTTTCTCTAAAGAACCAAGTTGCTGTTTTACTACTTCCTGTTCAGACAGCTCTGAGAAATGATGCATTACTGGTAAGCTCTGACAGCTGGGCGTCTCAGACAGAATGAAAACCAAATGCTGCTGGAACAGCAGAAAAACAAAGCTAGAAGAAAAGGCTGCCACTGTTTCATTTAGAACATGTAGAACTGAAGTATTTCAAAAGTATTATTTCTAACTAATAGAACATATATTTTAAAAGTGACTTTTGACCTTTACATTACGTTAGTTATAATGATCATATAGGAGTCCTCTGACTCAGAAATGATAGATGGTAAATAATAAATAACCCGCACTTGAATAGCAATTTACAGAGTCAGAGGACTCCAAAGCACCTTAAAACTACGTCCATCATTCATCCATTCACACCCATTCACACACTCATGGGGATGAGCTACATTGCGGCCACAGCTACCCTGGTGCGCACTGACAGAGGTGAGGCTGCCGAGCACAGGCACCATCGGTCCCTCTGAACACCACCAGCAGGCAAGGCGGGTTAAGTGTTTTGCCCAAGGACACAACAGCAGAATTCTCTGTCCGGAGCCGAGATCGAAACCTGCAACCTTCTGAGTACTTGAAAGCCCACTCAAACTTTTGAGCTACTGCAGAAAAGTGCTGTAAAATTGCATTTATCATAATAGTTCTACGGTCAATAGAAACATGTTCATGGAGTAATTTGTACTAAATCCCTCTCGCATAAACAGATTTGTGAAGTTTTATTCTAGACATTTTCAGTACCTTCCAGAATGAGGCAGTTCAGAGTTCTGTCACTTTAAGAAAACATTTCTGGAACTGGCAACTCCCACCCATCATCTGCACAGGGCTGCTATAAGCTGAGAAACTCTGATTTCCAGGAGGAGTTTGAAGTCGAGCCACTGCTTCTCTGGCAACATGGAGGAGCGAAGAGCAATGTGAGAGGTGGTTCAAGAAGAAGGACCAAAGCCTCCTCCACATCCTGAGGAGGCTGAGGGAGTTAATTCCCATCTAAAATCCTTTTTTCACTCTGTTGTTGGCTCTGTTATCCACTCTGATGTGGTTTGTTGGGGTGCAGGCAGCTCTAGCTCAGACAGGAAGAGTCTGAACAAGATATCTCGGTTATGGGATGCCCATGGATTCAGTTGAGGAGACGTGGGAAGATCAGCTCCATTGTTAAAAAATAAATAAATGAAACTCCCACCCACTGCATTCGGCTGTGGAGACCATGGACAGCTCCTTCTAAGGCAGACAGAGACAACCAAGATGTGAAACAGAACGCTACCGTAGGTCATTCATCCCCTCCACAGTAAGATTGTATAACTTCCCATTTAAACTGGTACTGGCATTATCCTGTTACACAATAACAGTATGTGTTCAATACCTGTGCAATACCAGATTTACAAATGATGTTTGTGTCCTTACAGTATGCTGCATAGCTCTGGAGTCCAAGTTTTATTTTTATTTGTGGTTTTTAGTGGTCGAAGGTTACAATTGTGTACTATGTGTATATACTTTTGTTATTTTTCTTCAAATTATTCTGTAAGTGTTGGTGCTGCTGTAACAAGTGAATTTCCCACTGTGGGATCAATAAAGTCTATTCTATCCCATTTCAAATAAAGCTGTTTTAAAATGGCCCTGCTTATGACATCACCAATAGGGAAAACAGCCTGTTTTAGACACATAATTCCTAAAATTAGGCACTGACAGAAAATGGATGGAGACGTTTTCTTGGGAAGTTTGGGATGTTTATAGAGGCAGTAGAGACCCACGTGGCAGCACAAAATGACGCAACAGGTGGGTTCTGTCCCCTTTAAGGTCAAACTAACTGATGATTCCCATCAGTCATAATCTTTTTTTGTTCCAAATGTGTTCCTATCACTAAAACATCTTCAGTTGTGTTAACAGAATCACAGACTCACACCACTTGTTGTTTTTCTTTTTGATCCAAACATAAACATTTTTTTCGGCTCATAAAATATTTTTCTACCAACTCAAAAATCTCAGAGACAAACTTCAATGAAAAGCACTTTCCATCCATGTATTAAAAATCTGTTTAAAAACAGTAATTTCTCACTTGCTGAGATTTTACACGGTTCTTGAAATAATTTATTAGTTCGATGACTAATACAATAGCAAAACTCAGATTCTTGAGATACACCTGATTTCAGCTACTGTCCCATAAATATCTGAATGACTAGATTAGATCAGAACAAACTAATGATGAATTCCAGATCCATGTTAATTTTTTCATGAGAAACAGCTAGAGCCATTTAACTTTCCACACTAGCATATTGCTGTGGCCTAATATTCCACAAACATATATAAGGCTAATTGTAATTTGCAAAAATCACTCAAAAACAACACCAGTTATTTCAGACACGGTACAAACATGCCAAGTTGTGTCAGATTAAAGGAAAGCAGAACTGAAACTGTTTTTGAACATTATATTTTCACCATTTTGAAGCATATTGGGCACAATTTTCAAACATGTACTTTATCAGTTTAGAAACTTTCAGCCTCTGTTTAGAAATAACAGCATCTATGTCCTTTGGCATTGATGAGCTAACCGTTAGTCCAAATGTAACCATGGGCTGTAACCATTCTAAATATCAACTTTACTCACATTTTGAATGCATTTGCTGCAGTCTCTGGTAGGAATGAGTACCTTGTGCATTGTGCTTTGGGTAAAAAAGCTGTGGTGTGACTGTTTAAGAAAAAATAAGTGAGCCACATCAGAGTTGAGTTTCAGACGGCAGGATTTAGTCTTATTTCCTGACTGGCTAATAGTGTAGCATCATGAATGTCCTGTTTTTGACCTAAAGGTCATGATCTGCTGTGTCTGCTCAAGCAGAGACATAAAGTCTCTGACACAGGCTAATCTACATGAGATATTGGCCAAGGTCTTTCATGCACTCTGATCATCTGAACTGATTCACCTCTGTTACAGCTCAAGACGAAGACAAAGAATTCTCTTGATAAACGCATAATTAAACAACTTTGTTATTACCAATAATAATGTGAGCCCAATGTTCAATCAATCTGTGAAATGACAATGTTATTACTTGATATTATAATACTGTGATCAGTAGTATTTTACAAGTAGTTATAATCCTGGACATTTGCACTAGACACTAATGACACGTAATGCAAAAGTCACACGACACATTTCCTTTCGTCTGATCTAGTCAGAACCTTCGTTTCTGATGCGAGGCGTGGTTTTCTGTGGTGTTTGTATAAGCCCTCTTTTGCATGTCAAATCCTGATTCGTCAGAAAAACAAAATATGACAATTATAAAAACTATTCCACACCACCTTTTCTTTAGGTCAAAGCGTTCTAGAGAAGTCTCGGACAGACCATCCAGACTTTCTCATCAGCCATAAAGAACCTCGACAAGCTGGATAAAATACATTGGAAGTTACACCTGACTGCAACGGTTCCTTCAGAATAAAAGCTGAACCTCATGCCCCCTTCAGGGTCTCGCTGATGCCAATGAACCTGTCATGACCTGGAAGCATTCCAACACTAGTTTGGTCGGCACCGCTGCTTTTCTACCGGCTTCGGTTCCAAGGAGGGTCCAAGAGGACCTCAACATTCTGGATTTAAACGGAGGCTTCCCCTGGGTACGTAGACCGACAGATGCATGTGTGTTATAAATCTCCTACTAAAGTTTAGAGTGAAACAGCCACTCCCACTCAGAACTAAATGCTTCTCCTGATCTGCTGGTTCTGATAATAACATTCCACACACACACCATCCTCTCACGTCTCACTCCACCTTAGTTCACCAGTACACAGAGTGTTAAAGTTAGTCTTGTTTAAATTGTGTAGAAATAAATTCCTTAACTATTATAAACCTGATTCTCTTTCTTTCCTCTGAGTTAATACGAAGTGTCACTTAATCCCTGCAATAAAAAGTTCTGATCTTCTGGTTAAAATATTCAAAGATCTATGATTTGTTGTATCGTTGATGATATTTCATATTTCTATGGAATCTCACATTTTATGGTTCATGAGTGAGATGTAAACTACCCATCCTTTACAACAGCAATGCAACCCAACGACTGACTTGCAACAATTTACTCAAACCTGAAGGAGTTCTGTCATGTGGTGTTGTTGCTAATGCTAATGTTAGCTTCTACTAGCTCAGACGTTCTCTGCTGTTTCCTGGATGCTAAACCAACAAAGTCAAGA